TTCAACGTGTACAGAATGTCATCTTCAGGCAAAACAAAAACAAATTTTCGAATGTTGATATAAATTTTAATTTATTCTAATTGGAGTGCATGTAACAGAGACAAATTAACTATGTTAGAAAAATCAAGTATACGTGGTATGTGTAATTCCCTTACAACACCAAAACAATGATGATAAAGTGATATACAGTATATCAGGGCCATAAGTAGAAAATTGCAAAACCAAATGTTAGAACATCAAGATGACATTTATAAAAATAAAATTTTCACAGAACTATCTAGAAGATTCTCAATCATTACTTTACACCCCTGTGGAATGAATCTTCCATTTCTCATACAGTGTGAGGACCGCAACTGTTTATTCATGTGAGAAACATTATTTATTGAAAAATTGGAGTGTAATAGGCTCACTCTAGAGCTCCAAAAATATGAGTTTCGCTATTTAATAATTTAAAAAAATTAATTCACAGCTGCCATTAATTTTCAATTATAGTTTGACCATTAATTAAATGTGTAAGTTTAATAACTATATAAATTTAACACATGAATTCTAATTAATACAAATTAATGTTAAACATTTAAAAATAAGAGGTGCACTCCAATTAGAACATGTTAACATTAATGTTAAAATTTATATCAACCTTCTAAAATTATTTTCTTTTTGCCTGAAAAAGACATTCTATACATGTAGAAAGTGCTTGCAAGATATTTTGTTTACTTTTGTGCTTTACTCATCAAAACTTTATTAATGCCAAAAGACAGTGATCTTAAACTTTTATCTAACAGAGTTACAACTGAGCTAACATCGAAAAATCATTGAATTTTCTTCTGGAATAAAGAAATGAGATAGTTGTAGTGTAGTAAGATGTAATAAGTTTTATGATAATACCATGGGTAGTTTTTTTTATAATTTTCCAAATTAAAAAAAGACACAGAGGAAACACTTGGATTAATGCTGTACAGAGGCTTTACTTTAATTTGTCCATCTTCATTAATTAATTAAAAAAGCTTACCTAAGGTTTGATGGATATTTTATTTCCAATAAAGAATGATGTCTCTGATAATGCCATCTGGAGAACAGCATAGCCGTGGCATTTCTGGTCAATACATTCTTCACTGAGCAGATAATATGTATCAGTATACTATATTTGTATCAGCTGGAGATGTGTTGGTTTGTTTTCCTATCTTTTTCTTGTTCCAAAAATGTGACTAAACCTTGTTGCTTGTTTGTATTCCTTTTTTAAAGTTGCTGGTTAATTCCAAGTTTGTGGTAAACTTGTTTTTGGTTCTATTTTTTTATTCTTTGCTAATAAAAAAGTAAGATGTGCTACATGCTTGCAACTATCAAGTAAAAGTGAATAAAAGGCATTAATCATTTTTCATAGGTCATTAAACTGCTATTAAGTTAATATGTTTATGTTGATTCTTTTATCAATTCTCTTATATCCTATATTGATGAAAGCAAATATTGCATGTACTTTTTATTTTGCAGTAAACATTAGAGATTTAAAAAATTTTTGCATTAATGTTTATTGCAAAAGAAAAAGTACATGCAAGATTTGCTGTCATCAACATAGGATGTAAGAGAACTGATAAAAGAATTAACAAACATTAACTTAATAACAGTATATTTTTTTCAGCTTAATGACCAATAGAAAATGATTAATGCTTTTTGCTTGCAACTACCAAGAAATCCTGTCCATTAAGGCTTGCAACTAATGCTTGCACGTCTTACTTTTTTTTATTAGTAAAGAAAAAATAGAACCAAGAACAAGTTTACCACAAGACTGGAATAAACAAGCAACTTTAAAAAAGGAATACAAACAAAGCTTAGCCACATCTTTGGAACAAGATAGGAAAAAAAACCAATACAAGTCTCCAGCTGATCCAAAAATATCAATAGTATACTGATAGAAAACTCTTCAGATATTATCTGCTCAATGAAAAGTGCATTGCCCAAAAATATCATGGCTATGCTGTTCTCCAGGCGGCATCATCAGAGACAGTGACATACATTATTGTTTATTGGAAATAAAAATATCCATCAAACCTTAGGAATGCTTTTATAATTAATGAAGATGGACAAATAAAAGTAAAGCCTCNTAGATGATTACCTTTCCTTTGGGCTTGCCCCTGTACAATATAAAAAAATTTAAATAAAATAAATAACTTGTAATGGAATTTGTTAGCTAGATTTAGGTACATACATTTACCAAAAGCTGTGTATTTTTGGCAATTTTGAGTAACTTTATGAAAATTGTCTGTTTATTTTAATTTTTTGTCTGCTCTAATGGATTTTCTACAAAAAAAAAAAACATTCTCAAAAGTGACAGGAAATAAAATTATTTCTTAAAACTATGTTCATTTCACCTATGTAAGTACACATGTTTGCAACTGTTTTTCAAATTTCTATTACAAGAGGTTGCTTTACTGTAGTGCCATCTGATTTAGATAGGAAGCATATTGCTTCTCTTTTATCCACACTATCCATCTCCTCGATAACATGATCTCACAGAGGTTAACATTTTCATACCTTCAGCCACATTTGCTGATTTTATTGCTTCCTTGTTCTAAAGAATGATACAGACTATTGACTTTAGAATCTTAAACATGGCCTCCAGATCTGCCACATGTGTACCATTTTCATACTTTGCAATAAGTTCCTCTTTCACCTCAATTGTCAGTACTACAGCTAGTGATGGGCTGATTAATTGGAATCAGAAAAATCAGGCATTTAAGTTATTAGTTTACTGGAAATTTACATGTTCACTGAGCATAGTATGCAATGCTCCGTACACGAGGCATTGTATATCATGGTGGATTTTTCTTTTGTGTAGTCAGAGTGATGAGAGATTGCACTTGGTCAGTACTAACTCTCCATTTTAGGGGAGATAGGGTGACATCTGGCCAGCATTGGACTGCTTGACCAGTAATCTCTATTCTGTATATATATTAAAAGCAAAATGTTCTGTCACTGCCACCCACAAATAATGTAAATTTAAAAAGTTCATTTGATTTACAATTGAAAATTTCAAAACAAGTTTTAAATAGTTTTTAAAAACATTGTTTTAATTTTTCACTTGATTTGGTTTTGGTGTAAAGGCCAAACTTTTATTGTGTTGCAATTTGAAAATATTGTAGACCTATAAATTCCCACTGTCATCCATCTGTCCATCTTTCCTCAATCTCAAGAATGGAGTTATATAGATGAAAGATGAGACTAGATATGGAAATCTTAGGTGCAGGATCCCAACCACTGTTGTAGTCCATTCAAATTATCAGTTCAACCAAACAATTGCCTTAAACAATCAGGTTATAAATCTGCTATTATTAATGATAAGATACTAAGAAATTTCGTACTAGAGGTAGACATTGCTTACTCATGAAAAGTTACTATGATTTATATGAGAAGTGAAAACAGCTGGAGTGACTGACAAGAAAAAACCTAGAGATTACTGGATCTTCAACATTATGATGTTCTGAAAGTTTAAGAAATAGAGAAATTAATAGTTCCACTTAAAAGTACAGAGGCAAAAGTAATATTTTATTGTTCATGTAATGTTCTGTTTGATATTCTGTATGAAATATATTTCTATTGGACATGGTGGCAGAGATTAGACGATAAAAGAACTGAATCATTGTTACAAAAATATTACTTGAGATATCAAGACGTTTTTGGGTGTTTACGATTCTTGCCAACAAAAAAGAAACATCAGGAAGAAATGTGTTGTAAAGCCAATAATAAGATCCTCCAAACAAAGGGCTGACGAAATTTGTGCAAACTTGATATATTTCTGCTTCTTGGTGCACCCTGCATCTTCCAGTCTGATAATGGCCACAAATTTTGCAATAAGCTCATAGAAGGCTTGCATATAACTTGGCCAGAACTTAAAATTTTATACAGGAAACCAAGGAACAGTCAGAGTCAAGGAAGCCTAGAGAGGACCAACCAAGATATAGAAAATATGCTGACAACCTGAATGCAAGATAATCAATCTACTATATGGAGTAACTAGTCTAAAATTTATTTAGTTCATGAAAAATAGAGCTTTCCACTCTGGTATAAGATCTCTTTTTGAAGCTATGTTTGGGTGTGCAGAAAAGGTGGTTTGCAAGATGCTCTGTCTGGAACATGAAATAAGGACACTTTGGTTGAAGAAGCCATATCTACATTATGTGACATTTGCTCAAGGGATTCTGAGGAACACCTAGAAAGCTACATTTCAGATGATGATGTTGAACAGAAGATCTGCAGGTTATGTTTAATGTCCAGAAAGAAAGAGAAGAGGCCAAAGAATGTTTAGAAAATTCACATTCTGAGGCATCTGTAGAAATGACAGTTTGTATCCTGCTGCCTGATGTTGACAGAGGACAAGGAGATGGCAGATTCATTCTTGCTGTTGTTATGGAAGAAACTAGTCAAGGATTTTATTGATTGGAAACAAGAAATGGGTGCCTCAATTATATTGCAGGAATCAATTTAGTGTCTGTGAACAAAAATCAATATCAATTGATGAAATACCATTGATATATCCTCCAGTCTCCTGTACCAACACTTTGGGTTAGTGCAGGTCAGGGTTTAAAAATGCTCATGTAAAAAACAGTGTGACAACAAAAATCGTGCTTGTCTAAAAAAATAATGTTCTCTGCAATTCCAAATGCTACTCAGCACACCTTGTTATAATAAATAGAAATTATTATAGTTTTACAGTATTTATTTATTATATGTAATATAATAATTTGACAAGTTTAACATGCATTTATTTTATTACTTTTGTTTCATATACTAACTAACACTGGTTAGTTAATTCATAGAATACCTAGCTATTCCATAGAAAAACTAGTTAAACTATGTAACTTTTAATTTATTTCATACTATATCTAAATTAGGCAGGTATTCTATAGAATAATGGCAATCAACACTTTAATAGTAACAAGTATTTAATATGAGGTTTTGATGATTAAGGTTTGATTCATATTTTACTTTTTTTTTTTTTAAAGCATGCCTCCAAAACAGTTTTCTTGTGTTCATTGTGATGAGAAATTAGGAAGTCGAGCCAAACTACAAGCTCATCTGAAACGACATCAGATAGAAAAACAAGATGATGAAACTATCGATACTGCTCCAGAAGTTCCTGAAAAGCAAACAAAATTCCCTTGTAACACATGTGACAGAATTCTTACTACTCCAGCTTCTTTGAAACGACATCAGAATTCATGCAATAAAATTGTGAAAATGGTATGTAATTAGTGAATTTTGTTTAAACATTTGTAATTTATCATTTTTATTCATTAATTTAATTTATATGCATTTGTTAATAATTGATATGTAAATCAATAAAATAGGCATAAAATACAGCTAACAAAATACTTCCATATTTAAGTTTACATTATTAGCTTATATACATTATTATTAAATACACTATTACATTATATTGAACTAAAATTTTTAATTATTTATTGAAAGAAGAAGAAAATTTTTTAATGAACTGAATGAGCAATAAAAAAAACAAATTTTGTGTTAATGACTTTAATAGATTCTTAATATTTATGTTTTGTTTTAAAATAATTGATAGACAAATAGTACATGCCAAAAACATTTAAAATTATTCTAAATGAATTGTTAGCTTGATATTGCAAGATTATCATTTTGATAATTTCTATTAATAATATAAATTCTGAAGATTTGTGTTATTTTGGTGTCAATGGTGATTGAAATGGCAGATATGAAGATATTATTATATGACTCCTCCAAAGTCCCCAGATAGGGAGTTATCCATGGAAATTCCCTTTTTTCAGGTAGGCGTTGTTGTCAAACTGGAAGCAGGAAGAGTAACACATTAACTTAAGTATGCTAATTTGAAAATTTTGTGGTAGCAAGTATCATTTGTTACCTTCCACATCAACCAGTCATGTAGCACATGATTGCAACTCCTTGAAACTAAAGTTTACAGTTTCAATTTACTTTTGGTAAATTCATAATAATAATTATCTTATTAATAAATTAGTATGCTAATAAATTAATTTAAAACATTATTTGTTAACATGAATATAATTTTAAAAGTTTGTTTATAATTGAATGAATTCATTATAGGAAGCAGAAGAAATAGTTACCTTGAAAATGGAATTTGAAGAGGAAGAGTTTATAAGTAATGACAACAGTCATATAGAGAAATCTGAAGATACAGAAGATAACAATTTAGCCAATCCAGATTCTCTTAGAGCTCATATGAGAGATAAGATAACAAATAGAGTTCAATCATTACTTGATGAAACCCGGTCACGACGACGTATTTCCAACAATAAATGCAAGGAGTGTGGTGTTACAATGAGAAAGCGATCCAAAGATGAACGTTGCACAAAGTGTAAAAATGCAAGTAAACAAAATAAGCAGATACTAGAAACAAATGTAAGTTTTTTTCTATAATTAAAAATTCAATGAATTATGATTATTATATATTACTTTTAAAATTTGTTAGGAGTTGGGAGAAGGAAAATGTGTAGAGTGTGATTTGACTTTCCCAGATAAAAAAGCCTTAATTGAACATAACACGTCAAATCATAGTACAGCACATCAATGTGTTGTTTGTAAAAAAACATTCAGTAGAAAATATCATTTATATCGCCATTTACAAATAACTGCTTGTTCGGGTTTACCTCCACCATCTCATAAATGTCAAGTTTGTGGAAAGATTTATACTCGTAAAGTAAGTAATGATTTTGATATAATGTTTAGATAAATAACTGAGAAAAATAAAGTAAATTATTAAATTACAAAAACTTTAAATTTTAAAAAATTTATTTGTAGTTTATAGCAGACAGTTTTATAATTTTTGAAATATATTGCTTTTAAAGAAATACCTGTTTTTACAAGAAATCTGAAATTTTAAGTACAGATATATTCACTTAATTGTATTATTAAAAATACATGAAAAATAATTTTCAATCTAATCTGACTTGTTGAGGATAAAAATTATTTAAACTTTAAAACATTGTAAAAGTAACAACTCTATCTCTACCACAATGCTTTGGATCACTTGATCCAGATAGGCACCTGTCAAAATGGGCAAAAATTTCTGAAAAGGCATACTTTATACATAGTCTTTGTATAAGTTATCTATATTAAATGACCACCTGTGTAATGAGACCGCAGACATTGATTTTAGTCTGAAACAACATACAACAACTATAGATGGAATATCTGCTGTGTCATGTAGTAGTAACATCAAATGCCTGAGAATGAAACACACACAAAGTTATAGCTTTTCAAAATCATAAACCTACTTATTTATAATTCTATAAATATATATTTATGTATGTATATATACATACTCTATGTATGTAAACTGGCATTATCTTCTGTCTGATAGTGTTACTTACATTTTTGGTGTCTGGCTGATTTGATTCTCAATATTTTTGTATTTTTGCCTCTAAAACTAATTTTTACATTCTAAGAAACTTGATTTCGTTCCTTGAGAGTAGTATCATCTTGAGAAATTTGTTTAAACTTGGTCGGCAAATTGGACTACCATCTTATATTAATATTAATTCATAAATCCAAAGAGATTTCAACTTAGTCTGTATAGTTATTAGTCAAATTCATAATTCTGGAAGAAAAGATCTGACAGATTCATGCAGTATAACTTATAATGTACTATAAGATAATGAATCAACCTGCAAGATAAGCATGTTGATTCATTCAGCATTATGATTTGAGTTTTTCTCAGAGTTGGTTTTTTCTGGAATAATCTAAATTATTAAATTAAATTTTAAAATCAATTCAATTATTAATATTAATACAAGATAGTGATTTGACTCTACCTTTATATCTAATTTTACACTGAAAGATCACTACTTTAGGAATACCTGCCTAATAATGGGTTGGTCCACCTTTCTGGATGATCATGGGTGTGGAGTCTAACAGATGCTGAACATTCTCTAGTCTTAACTGGACCCATGCCTGCTTGAGAAGTTTTATTAGTTGGTGCACATTTAACAGAGAAGTGGGTGACTACCTCACTGCACATTTCAGCATATCCCAAACATGTTCAATAGAGCTGCAATCTGAAGAATTTTGGGGAAGGAAGTGTGTGTAATTCATCGTCATGTTCCTCCAACTATTCCACAGTGCATTATTACCTTAAAATATGGCATTGTTGTAAGGAAACAACTTGGTATGGATGCAGATATGGGTGCAGATGATCACTTAGCAAGTCCATGTATCGTTCACCATTCAAGGATGACAGCCAATGGCCCTAGACCAGGGGTGGCCAACCTTTTGCATACCATGCGCCAATTTTTTCACAGACGAGTTCAGATGCGCCATATAACTCGAACAATTTTTATACAATCTTACGTTCAATGTTAGGGGTTGATAAATAGAGATAAGAATAAATCTGCTTCGCTTAGGAGAGAAAAAGGAATAACTTTATTACGCAGTTGAATTAATTAATTTATGACAGTTCATTGAAGCACCAATTTACAATAGTCAACAATAATCTCTTGTATGAGAGGGCTATTGCTTCATGATGGTGCTATTGCTGCCAGAGTCTCGTTTGGTAAAGATTACCCTGCACCACAATTATTGGCACTGAGAACAAGATCAGCTTGGAATAACTTTAATCACAATAAATGTTTTCTGCCATTTACACGCCTGTAAACTGATCGGAAATAAAGATCGCAAGACTCAAAATACGTGCGTTCACTGTAATTTACTATGTGGAGAACACTCATTTTATCTGCAAAATAGACTGTAACGAATTGTGCAACAAATGAACTTGCCATGACAGACTATAAAAAATTTAATTTTTTATATAATATTCTTAATCGCAAAAAAGCCAAATCTGGCAATTTTGCTCAGAACTAACTGAAGCGCCACTTGTAATCGTCCAATGCGCCACATTTGGCGCATGCGCCACGTTTTGGCCACCCCTGCCCTAGACCTTGCCAAGAGAATGCTCCCCAGATCATGATACTGCCATTACCAGCTTATGGAATCTCAAATGTGCAACAAGGAATGCAGCTTCATGATACTTATGCTAGGTTCAGACCTGGACCATCAGCATTGTTTAACATGAAACAAGATTTGTCCCTCCAGACAACCTTATTCCACATATCCAACTTCCAATAATGTGTTTTCCTCACCCATATGAGGTGTTGTTTGTGGTGACATGTGATCAACAGAAGCACCATGCACGTTAATGGCTATAACATTCCAGTAGACACAACATATATGACATGGTCATTGTCAAAACATGTCCACTATAGTTCTGGCAGGCAAATTGTTTCACTGTGTCATGTCTTTGTTTGGATACCAGTTTTAACTAGGGTTTCTCATTTCTCGGGAAATTTGCCTTTAGCAGGATTACGGGAAAAATAATTTCTTTTCCCCGAAATTCCGGGATGAGATAGTAAAATAGAATTTCATATGAATAAAAAATATCATACAGGAATATCATAAATTTGAATAATTTAATTTATTTTCTAGTAAGTAACTAAAAGTGTAGGGCCAATCTCACCCATACCGACGCATTAGGCTCAATTAATTTATGTTCTCCTACATTATAAGATGAAAGTAAAATAAAACATTTCATTGGGAGTTTTAATGAACATAATAATGATTATGAAAAAAATACTATTTTATTTCTAAAGATGAAATAAAAAATATACTTATTCCATAAATTTAATGAGAAAAAAGACAATTATTTTGAATTGAACAAAAAATATAACTTCTCAAAAAAAAAATTATTTTCAGTTGAACATAAAAAATACTACTAAAAAATTTATGAAAACAAAAATCTCTCTCTCAAAAAAAAAACTTATAAATTTTCATAATAAGATTTCAAAAAACAAAAATGATCAATACTTTGATCACTTAATCTAGTTCTCAATTTGGTCACAAAAAGACCTGCAGCTGAAAACGCCAATGGTTTGACTTTATAAATTATATTAAAATAAATTATTGTAAAATACGAGTAATTGACTAATAGAGAAATTTCAAATAATCACACTTACAGTTACAAACAATAGGATATAAATGGGAATGTAAGCTTTAACAAATTCCTTAACTTATAAATGCGAATTCGAAACTAAAGTGCGATGAGTGATATTTACTTTCAGCGAACGCTCCTCTGTTCAATGATGCGCAAACACAATACATAGATATTACATGAACTAACAAGTAGAGACTTGTAAAACGTAGGTACAGTAATAATATGCAGCATGAAACCTCAAAATTTCTCTTTTAGGTGAGTCTTTAAGATGCAACTTTTCATGTAATAAATGATAGAAAGAAAACATGACATGATAAATTATTATTGAAATGGAGATTTCCCAGGAAAATAAAATTTCCCGGGATTTTTCTTGTAGGGAATAAACGGTGGGAATCTCAGGAAAGAATCCCTAGTCTTAACAAACATTACTTACCTCTGGAATCAATCGCATTTGGCTAGCTGCTGTATGATCTTCTGGTGGATGCTCGTGCAAGATACATCCACTGCAGTTCACCCTGGACACTGGTACAAGAACAACCAAGTGCATGACTGTAGCTGTTTTAGAAATACTGGACCCCAACAATCTGTCCTTGCTCAAAGTTGTTCAAGTTGGCTCATCTGTTGCCTTCTACTATGTAAATGACAGGTCAACATATCATGACTGCAGTGAATTATGATGTGACAATTACAGGACATCCTTTTACCACTTCAGACATGGTGTTCCTAATGCAGTGATTATTCAGTGTATAGTTTCTTTAATTGGATCTAACATCTTAGAGCATACTTTGATGTTTTCATACTTTAACTATTTTTAATACATCTATTTTAATTAATTAGAAAAATATTGTTTCAGATAATTTTTATATTTTCATATAAAGTATAGAAATTAGTATTTGATTAATATTCTATTTTATGTAATTAATGTTGATGCAACTCTGTATAATTCGCATCCTTAAAGATTATCATATTGAAAGTACACAAGGATTTTTAAAATATGAATGTAGTGTATGTTTTTATTTAATTTTGTAATGGTAAAAAGGTCTAGTTTATATTATCATTTTGTAAATAAATTATTATGCTATGATAAGATTGTATGCCTTATTTATTTTGTCTGCTATAAGTCTTGAAACAATAATTTTTCTTGTAGGACAATTTACGGGAACATTTACGTGCTCATGCTGGAGAAGTTGCCCGACGTAAGAAATATAAATGTGAATATTGTGACAAACAATTTCATGGAACATCTCTTCTTAAAATCCATATTCGTACACATACAGGAGAGAGACCATTTTCTTGTGAATTTTGTTCAAAGACATTTCCTTCAGGTGGTGGCTTGGCTAAACATAGACGAATCCATACAGGTGAAAAGCCGTATGTTTGTACTGAATGTGGATGCAAGTAAGTAAAGTTTTAATAAGTCTCACTGATTTATGGTTATCAATGTGTATTAATTAAAAAATATTTTTTTATTTCTTAACATGTATAAACATGTGCAAATTATTCATGCGTATCAAAATAAGTAATTTCTATAATATTTTAAAAATTTAAAGTTTCTTTAAGAAAACTTTTATAAAATTTCAATCATTAGTAATCTGCAATTAAATATAGAATTTGACATATTATTATTATCATCATAATTCTACAAAATAATAGCTACAAAACAGTTTTATCATTTTATCAAATCTATGAAATTTCAGTTTACTTAATATGTAAATTATTCAGTATTGATTTAAAGATAAAAAGGATTATTATACATTCTTCAACCTGACATTTTCATATATTATTTATCTGAAAGTTGCAGATTTAGAATAAACTAAACGTTATATTTGTTATACTTTAATTTTTAAATCTGTCTAATCAAATGGCTTTTGTTTTATTTAAACTGTTACTCTTTATCCTTTGTTTAATGCAAAAGGGGAAAAATGATTTTGTTAAAATTTAATCGTAACATGATTAACCTGTCCTATGTTGATCCCGAAAATATTTGTGTTGACCTCATTGACCTGCGTGGGCGATCCCGAATATTTCCGTGTTTACATCGGAACGTTTTTGATACTAGATGTTGCTTCATGTCACAATTTTTATATTAAAACGAACTTTTAAAATAAAATTTTTTTCGTTTTTATATTATTCAATATATATATTTTGTTTGTGAAACATAAAAAAATAACTTTTTACGATACACGCGATATTATTTTAAAAAAAATTTAGGCTTAACATCGATGAAAATTCAACATGGCGTCACAGGCAACAAATAAAAATTTCAACATCGAATAGGTTAAACTCAAAATCATAATCATCCAGTAACATATTACTGGATGATTATGATGCTTTTTACTAATTTCATTTAAAATATTGTTTTATAGGATAAATATTTCTTGTACGCAGTTTCTTCAACATTTTCAAAAATCCTGTTATTGTCAGTGCTATAAAGAAACTATGTATAATAATATGGATATGTTAATATATATAAGCATATTAATGTTATTAGTAGATTGAATCTATTTTGTGTTAAAAATAAAAATACCTATAGGTATCTCTTGATTAGTGCAGTTAATTAATCCCTTGATTTTACCATGTATATCAAAATTGCATTAATCAAAATATGGTATCTACATTAAGTAAAGACAGCTGGTAAAGCTGTGCAAATTAAAACTTCTATCATATATATCAAGGGATTGCTGCAATTAATTTTACATGTTAATCAAATTTCACATTAAGCAAGGAATACCTGTACTGTAAAACATGAAGTTATTTCTTAAACAACGTACAATAGTCTGCATGGCAAGTAATATATGATAAAATATTTTTCACATAGTAAAACACTAATACTAATACATTTTGGTATATCTTAAGCAGTTACAACTTTTGTTGTTCATGTTTATTTCAATACAGAGGATAAGTTAATTCTGACTCAAATATAAAACTCAAACTTTTCTTTAAAACATTTTTAGATTATGCAGTTTTTGCAGGCAATAATAGAGATAAAAATGAAAACATTACATGTTCTCAGAGCACAGTGATCAGAATAATTAGGAATAAGACAAAAAAGTGACAGACAATATCAGAAAATGTTTCTAAGCTTGTTTTTCCAGGAGTCTACAAGGTGCATAGCATTCATAATCCAGAAAGTTTAGTTGTTGATAGACAAAGAAAATCTTTTATGCCAACAATCCATTGCAAAGCAACTGGGAATCTTTCAGCCGGTGATTCATACAATAAAATCATAAGGATTTGCAAGCAATGGTTTTCAAAAGCCTGGCGCATATAAATTTACCCCAATTCACAAAAATGACAAGAAGGTAAAAGTTCTGGCTTAGTAAACACTAGTATTGTGTTGTATTCCAAAGACACATGGCAAGTTTTTCCATCAAATATCTTTATTAGTTTAGTTGTACTCGTTTTGGGCTTTGCCCCTCTTCAGTGAACTTTTGGTTACACTTTGAGTTGACTGAAGAGGGGGCAAAGCCTGAAACGAGTACAAAACAATGTACTGTATCAACTCAACTAATAAAGATATTTGATGGAAAAACTTGCCATGTGTCTTTGGAATACAACACAATACTAATGTTCACTAGGCCAGAATTACAGAACAGGACATGGTTTCAAAAAAACAAATCAAAAGGTAAAAGTTGTAAGAGCATCATCTTGCTAGAGATAGATATGAATTTGGCAACAATTCTTGATAAAAGCATACATCTTATTTGCACAACTGCAATGGTGTTAGAAGAATGTTGTGTGTTCAAGCTGACCAGCAAATCCCAAAAGAATGGCTTTCAAAATGCCACAAAAGTTGATTGTCCTGTTGGACTTAGTTGTAGGGGGAATGACTGGAAGAGGACCAATACTGCTAGTCAAGATGGTAAAAAAAAATGTAAAGATGAATGTAGAATACTATGTTGATGTGTTGAAGCCATATTTGAATAAGGAATGTCTCACCTTTATTCAGGAGAGGAGGCAAAAGTTACTCTTCACTTTGATAAAGCAACAAGCCATGTTGCAAACTTTATGACTGCTTATCTCCAAGAGTTGAAAGCAGAGAGGGATATACTTTTGTTTCTGAAAGTGACATTCCAGTCAAGAATTTTGACATAAATTTAATAGACTGGCTACCTTAAACAGATTATTTCTTTGTAAAGTAAAACATCAACATTACAGGGTCTTTGGAAATTTTTACGGGATGAGTGGTCAAAAGTTACTCTGGAAATGTGCCTAAGTGTTCAACTGTTAGAAAAGAGATGCAAGGATGTTAGTGAAAGAAATGGAGATTGTATTGAGCAGATCAAAGGAATTCACTATAGATTATTGTGCCAAATAATTGTATAAATAAACTGAGTCAGAATTAACACACACACTAATTATATAAAGATATAATTGCAAGTATTTTTAATAATAATTGAATTGTCTTCATCAGACTATTACAACATAAAAATGTAATAAGAATATTAGAACATAATGATTTGGAAACGTTATAACTTTTAAATTTATTTATTTATACAGAATATGCTAAGGTAAAATTCTTTCTGTTTCATTAAGGTATGAATTGTATTCAATTGTATGAATTAATTTACATTTCATACATTATTTTGAAGTTTATTTAATTTAGATTTGCCCTGTTACATCTATTTTACTATTTAATTTAATTTAGAAATAATTAAAACAAATTGTGCACATGCTCCATCAGTCTTGTGTTTAGCACTCATTCCACTAGGATCTTAGTGTCGCTTGTGATCACATATTTTTCTAAACTTGTGTTCACATGTATTACTTTTAAACATCAACAGCCATAGCCTGTTATATAATAATTAAAACAAAAATCACATTCAATGAAATGTTTACTTGTGTATAAATTTCTGCATGCAAATTATCTGTGAAGATATTTATACAAAAAAATATTGTTTATTTAGAGATTTTATCTAGTTAAATTTATTTACTTTATTTTTTTATTTTAATATAATTTAAAAACAAGTTTTTTACTGTAAATATTTTGCTGGGTACAACTAGTACATTTAGAATAATAATTTAAAGAATTTTAAATTCTTATTTAAATGTACAATAATGTACAAATTTTTGATTTTATACTATATTATTGATCTATTAAGTTTATTTTTCATGACATTATAAATTTGTACCTTTTGAAATGTCTTCAAAAACTTATGATCTGATTTAAAATAAAGACAAATTTAAGCTACTTGCATGTAAAATTTATTTAAGAGTAAAAAGCTGTTTAACCAGGAAAATTGAAAAAATTTCTATATTGAAAATGTTGTAAGCATTGTTAACATAGGTATGTTTACCTGTAGATTGGTATTGTTCAGGAAGCGTTTGATACACAGTATAGTGAACATCCATATAATGCAATAAAAAATTGCAACTAGTATACATACAAAATTCTAATTTTGTCATCTAGAGATATATATTTTCTTCAACTTCTAGGTCTAGGTTTAAACTTGCATAAAATCATCTGATAATGTATGTCTCCATAATACCATTTTTTTAAAAATGCAGAATGTAACCCCACATTGAGTGGGGCTTTGCTGTACAATGGAACCCTGTGTAATGCACTGTTCAAGTAACATTATTTCTCCTAAGAAAACGTGTAACATTAAGTCCTCATGTTATATAAATTTTTACATGACTGCATATAACTGGTAATGCATTCCTTGTGTACAGAGCATTTTTATTCTTAGTATTTTGTTTTAACTTAGTGAAGGGGTAAGAATTTTCAGTTAGAGTTTGGAGTGTTTTATACTTCCAAGGAGATGGGCAGTTTGGGTCTTCAACTGAAAGACCCAAACAAAACTTGATGAGCATGTAGCCCTAAACACAAACAACTCCTTGTCCAAATAATAGGACTTACTTCTCAAGCACTTTCAAAAAATGGGCTTTTGAAAATTGAGTGTTTAGCTTATAAATCTTTGGAAGCTTTGCTTTGCCTTGTAATTGCAATAGCCAACTGCACAAGATGCTAGGTATAGAAACTGCACCTTTGCACTTTTATTTTATTTTTTTAATGTGTAGCAAAATTATTTTATTGCATTTGCATTTCACTGCAAATTTTTATTTTTTACTGCATTAATTTTTTTCATACCTGAAAGTTAAGAAAACTTGTTAAAACATCAAATATCTTAGAAAATTTTAATATGAAACTTGTGTTATTTTTTGATACTTTATAAAAATAATTATTTTTCATTATAAACAGTGTGTTTAGTTATTACTTTTAATTTACATTACAAATTTAATTCACAGAAGTATCACACAAGTGTCTTCTTAATCTAACATCCTTTTAAACACCTTGGGAACAAACAGTCCTTATGGTGGAGTCAACCTTTCTTTTTAGGCTAATTTCTCCACCTCACTTCATCCTGGCATTTTAAATAAAAATAACAACAAAAAAATTAATTAAAATTGTTTATTCAACTATATATCAACCACTGTCATAATATTTATAATACAGTGGAACCTCGCATAACAAGCAAAATAAATTGTAAAAAATTGCCTTGCTTAACGAGCAATGTTTCGCATAACGAGTGAGGAGGAGAGGGAAAGTCCCAAATTGTGCACATGCTCCATCAGTCTGTGTTTAGCACTCATTCCACTAGCATCTTAGTATTGCTTGTGATCACACATTTTTCCAAACTTGTGTTCACACATATTACATATAAACATCAACAGCCATAGCCCGTTATATAATAAACATGCCAAACGATATGCCAAATTCTTGGGTAATGTAAAGGCTATAATTAAATATTAGAAATTAATTAATTTGACTAGAGGTAGGCAGTTATGCTGCCATCTTGTATAATTAATTTCTAATATTTAATTATAGCCTTTACATAGCCCAAGAATTTAGCATATCATTTGGAGTATTTATCAAACATATTATCTGTGATTCCCCCTGCGATTGAATTCTCATTCCAGATTGGTTCATTCTGCACCAGAAGAAAAGATGATGATGATTCATGCTCCTTAACAATGCACATTGTACAATTTTCTTTGAATAAACATTATACATAAAATATTTGAGTGTTTCTTTTTCCGGTATGGAATGCATTATCATATTTTACATTAATTTCTATGGGAAAAATTGTTTTGCTTAACGAGTGTTTTGCATTACGAGTACAATTCTGGAACAAATTATGCTCATTAAGTGACATTCCACTGTATAAAGATATAATTAGTATGTATCAAAGATATTCAGTATTAATTTAGGAAAGGTTCATTGAAACTGTTAAATCAAAATTATATGATTTTTTAAAATGGTTCAAATTTTGACTTATTTAAATATACCTTAATGTAAAACTATGTATTTATTATTTTAAAGTTTTTATTTCTTTCTATTAGATTTACGTTGAAAGGAACATTGAATCGTCACATGAGAATTCATACTGGAGTCAGACCTCATAAATGTGAATTTTGTGGTAAGCAGTTCATTCAAGCAGGAGGATTAAAAGCTCATCTTTTCTATCATACTGGACAGAATGGTTTTCGTTGTGAACAGTGTGGTAAAACTTTTAATCGTAAAGCCAGGTTGCAAATGCATATGAATTACGTCCATAATAAGATTAAACCATTTGAATGTCAAGAATGTGGCAAATGCTTTACAAGAAAAGAAGATCTTGCTCGTCACTATGTTCTGCACACAGGTGAAAAACCATTCCAGTGCCCAACCTGTTCAAAATGTTTTGCAATTAAACCATCTCTAAAATTGCATCTTTTAACTCACACTAAAGAAGAGCCAAGGTCTTGTCACGAATGTGGCCGTGCATTTATTCGAAAAGACTGTCTATTACGTCACATGAGAAAACGTCACAGGGATCTTCTGGATAAAATATTAATAAGCGAGAAAGACAAGAAGTTTACATATCAAAGTACATCGGGCATGCCGTTATCGAGGACATTAAATGAGCAGAGTCTTTGTGAAAGCATACGGGAGTTGCTAAGTCTTTTGGTAGATGAGCCAACATTGAAAGGATTTGGATGGCCAGACAAACCAGTAGATGAAGTACTAGAATCTGTTATTCGAAGATGTGGTCATACACCAGTTACTCAAGAGAATTATTCTTATTTGGATCGCTTAAGAGAAAACTCAAAATTGTTATTCACCGTCGTAATTGATGATAATGCTGTAAAAACATTATTAAATAATCAAACTGTTGATGAAGTTATTCTTCATGTCTTGCGATTAGCTCGATCATAAATGTTTTAAGAACAAAACATCAGCTTTCAGTTTATTATATTGATAATGTTCTAACATATTATCGTTTTTACTAGACAACTATATCCATTCCATTTATATTATCATGCAATATAATATTTTCCAACAGATTTCTATTACTTTTGCATAATAAACTTCAAATAAGGTTTATATATTATATATAAAATATTTTTAGCTAAGATATTCTTGCTCAAGTAATTGATTTGTAGTTTCCAGAAAAATTTTTATTCCAAATAATTGAAGCAATAATTAATTTTGAATCTCTAAAAGTTCCCATTTTTATTATATTTAAACAGTATGATAGGCCACAATAAATAGGCTAAATTTTAAGAAACTGTGTTATGTTCACATGGAATTAATTATAAATGTTTTAAAGTACAATATAAGATTGTCTTCCGATTCATAAAGAAAATTTTTGGCCCGGTAAAAAGTTAAATCTTGTTCACTGGTTGTTATTTCCTTTAATTTTAATTTTGTGAGTATTGTAAGAATTTTATATGGCTATTTAGAAGAATGTATGCATTACACAAGTATTACTTTTTTTTTTTTTTTTTCCATTTTGTATATTTCAATATTTATGTGTGTACATTAAAAATTAAGGCATCTATCAAATAACATAAATATTCAGTTATCATTTTTTTTCCAATGGGCTATGCTTTCCAAAATATAGCCTCGCATATTGTAGATAATAATAATAATAATGTATTTTCTTAACAAAATAACTGACATGTTCCTACTAAGCACAAATTTTTGACAGATTTTGAATATATCAATATTTGAAAATAGTATTTACTGCATATATATTATTGTATTTTTAATGATATACAATGTTGGAAATTAATTCAGATGTGCCTTATGAATAATTGCTGTTTTAATGGTTTAAATGCAATAATGTTAAATAAAATTTTGCACAACAATTTTATAGAACTTCTATTGAAAGTGCCTTATGATGATTGAATATATATAATGGCAATTTGTTATATCAAATTTATATATAAATTTTGACATTTATACAATAATAATATACTGTTTGTGTATTTATACGAGTTTGTCTTGCATGGATTGTGTGCCGGTCTGACAAATTTGATGAAATTATGTCAATTTATAAAAAAAATTATATGAATTTGTAAAAATCCTGTAATTGGTTCTGCAATTTTCAATTGTGAATGCTGCTACTGTAAAATATACTCACAGTTAAAGATAGATTTTTATTAAATTGTTAATGTACTTCAGAAATTAAAACCAGAATTTATATTGTTGTCTATTCTTATTTGGGATATAATTACTAATGGTGGTGATAAATTTTGATAATTTTTAACAATGCAATATTGTTGATAATTGACATTGTAGAAATTAAAAAAAAAATAGCATTCCTTTGCTTTTATGTCTTGAAAGTTTCAACTCTGCAATCCAGACAAGGCTATCTTGTACATGAATGTTATCATCATTGCCATAAATTTTATACCATCATTTTATGCTATTTGATATTAAAAAAGTTTATTGTAAGGTGTGCCTTTTATTAAATATTAATACTGGAATAGCTGAAATAATTAATAAATTGTATTTTTGTGTGAAAAGGTCACATTGTTTTATTTCAGTAGAAACATTTCATTAGTTTTGTAAGGTTCACAACTTTGAAATCTGTGCATGCATCATTTGTTTTAATTTGATATATCTAATATTTTATGGAAATTCTGTCCAAACTTATTGATCAGGTATAAATAATTTTGATATCTATTGATTTGTAACTGAAATACTTTATGTATACTGCCAGATTATTTCTGCTGTTACATGTGAAATACCTATGATGATGATTTTATTACATTTCTATGTATTTCAAAAATATGAAATAAAATTTTATAAGCTAATTTCTCCATTATTTAACATCATGAAAATATTTAAAATGAAAGGTCTTGTCATGTGTGATGGTTATTATAATCCTACTTTAATGTGACAAAAGTGATTATTACACCAGTGTTCAATAAAATTTTGCCGATTTTAATTATTTTTCATAACATTAAATATAAGCTGTTTCTCAAACATATATTCAAATTTTATTGTTTTTAAAAAATATTTTTAATACTTAAATAGTATAAAAAGAGATAATATGCAATATTTAAAATGTGTAGTTTTACTTTCCCAGCTGGTATGTATACATGAGGGAAGGTATGGGAATCGCGTCAAATTTAACCCTCGGCGAGTTTTTTGCAAAGCAACACATTTTGACACCTGAATCCAAAAACGCAAATTCCATGGATATGTTTGATGCTATTAATGGTGGTTAATTAAAGGTCGAGGAGATCGCGTGCATCTCCAGTAGAGTCAGACTTAAGTAAAATCATTAACATTTATACTTTTGTTTTATAAAACTCATCCCTACCCTCAAAAAATTAGTATAAAATGGTAAAAAGCTTTTATAACAATTTTTTAATGATAAAATTGTGTGTGGTGTCGTCTTATTTTTTGCTTAAAAGTTTTTTTTGATAACTCATAACAGTCGGGAAAGTTACGCAACTCTCGTTACTAGATTTTTTAAAATAAACGTTAGCAGAATAGTAAAATTAATTTTACTTTCCCGGTTGTTATGACGCAAGAATTGTGATCAAATTTTTACTTGTTACTTTCCTAGCTGTTTTAGCGTAACATGGATCATAGTCCCGACTTTTATAATATTGTAATCGTCATATTTGACCTTAGGGTTTTTGGAATCGTGATGTTTTGACACTACTGAAACAAGATAAGTCAAAAAATACTGTGCGTGTTTTATTGTTTAATAACTCAGGATGAGATAAAAATTAAAACAAAATTTTGCACCATAACTTGAATACTACCCCTGAAAAAAGTATGGAATATTTTGTACACTCATAAAAATAGCGAACCAAGGAGGAGGAATCGGAATTGAACGAAATTGTAATGTACGTGTGTGAGTAACGGTGATGTAAGTAATTACAAAATGAAAGCAAAAGGATCGTTGCAGGAAAAAACTACAAATGAAAAGGTTTTAGTACCCTGTTGGGCCGCCTCTATCGTGAATACACGATGCCTTACGGGCGGGCATGGAGGCATACAAGTGTCGTATGGTGTCCTTCGGCATCTCAGTCCACGGTTGCTGCAAGAGGTTTTCTAGTTCGGCCAAACTCCTAGGCTGTCCAACTTGGCATCCCAGGTGATATCAGATATGTTTGATCAGTGACAAATCGGGACCGGGCAGGCCAGGGAAATGTGGCTGAGACAGTCCTGTGACACTCTTGTGTTTGGTAGAACATTGTCCTGTTGGAAAATGGCTCGAGAGCCCTGCCATGAGAGGCAACGCGTGGCTGCAGGATATTACTAACATCACTGGGCTGTCGTATGTGATGGCACGTCAGATTATATCAGCTGAGGGGAGGTGTGCCTCTCAAAAGCGTGGGCAGGATTGAGGCTTTCACCACAGAGCCTACAGACACGAACACTGACGTCATCAGTGACGAAACTGAATCTGGATTCATCACTGTAGATGACCCAGTCTCATTCTGTTGCGGTCCAATCCCGTCGGGAGCGACACAACTACAAACGGAGGCGACAGTGAATGGTGCCCAATGGCTGCCGCGATACCAAATGTGTTGCTCACGAAATGTACGGATAGACATAGAGGCCTGTAATGCTGGGCCACCTGTGCCTGGATGGCGGACAAATAATACAGTTGGCTGTGTGCGTGCTTGTCGGTGGACCAACGCTCCTCTCAGGCTAATGATCTGCCGAGGGCGCCGTGTGTGCGAGCTTTCTCTTATCCGCTGATCTCCAACACTTACAGTTTTGTCAGAACAAACTATTCGGCGATATGACCCTCCAGCTTCTATTAACCCGATGATCCTTCCGCTCTCAAACTTGATTAGTTGTTCATATGGTCTTCAATTGTCACATAAAGGCATCTCTTATGATACAGCGTCCCTCTGCAACAGGTAAATTAAGATCAGGATGCCTTTTCTCTCTTTTTTTATAGGTCAAAGGGGACACAGTTTAACGCATTCTGCTAGTATTATGCAAAAACAGAGGAAACTATGCAATCGGTGGCACTCGTTTGGATAACGTCCTTATACAGAGATCCATCATTTGGTACAATCTTGGAGACATCATTTAGAGCAGTGGATCTTTCCTGGCTGATGACCACAAGTGAACTTTGTGGCATTCCGACGGACTGCATTTATTTTGTTGTTTATTTTCAGGCTTTAAGCCTGTTGAGTCTCAACCATACTCCATAAACGCCAGCAGACTAGGTACGAAAATAATTTATTGCCATCTAGTTCCACGTTTTTAAAATTTTTCAGAACAAGCACTTAAACTTTTAAGCTTTTATGTAGGTGAAAGTAATTACGAAGTTTTAGCGAAATTTGCATCATATACGTGTTTTCTCATTACAAAGATATATTACACCATAAATTTTAAATTCGTCAATAAGTTGGTCAGCCATTTATTCCTTGATTGTTCATTGGAGTTAGAACAAATTTCATTGTAAATAAGTTGTGTAGATGTACGAGACAGATTCAATAAATAAGACTAGTAGCACTGCTAGAGAGCATACAAGGTTCAGACTAATAATATTGAAAGAATATAAGTAATGCTGTTTTGTAGTCGTTTCTGTCAGATGGCATTTGCGTTCACTTCGGTCTTTACAAAATGGCGTCGCTCACATCAAACTGCGCTAGAATCGAGCTGCTGTTTCATTTCTGACAGGCATTACACTTACAAGTTTGTGAGATTTATCGCATGATGTACGCGCACAATATGGAGAGTCACGCATGACTTTTTTGCAGAAACATTACAAGTTCAAGAAAGGCCGCGCATCAATGATGAGCTGCGTAGACTTTTGAACTGAAGCTTTTTGTAGTGAAATGCACGTCTCTCCATATTGTGCATACACTCTAAGATGGATCTCACTATTCGAATACTTTCGACTAGTGATGATAACAGTTTTTATTCAAAATGCGGATCAGAAACATTGAGTTGTTTATTTCTGACAGTTTTACAAAACTTTGACAGCGTTGAAGAATACTCAGAACAGTAATTATCAGTTCAGAAGGACTTCCAACATTGCTTATTAACTTTAGAAAAAAAAAATTTGAACAAATTTTCTGCTATCGACTTTTGGCTTTAAACTTTTTGACTTGCTTATTTTTGCATCTGACAAATTTCTCTGTACCGCTTCACGTCTGGTTATCATTGATTTTACAGATCTTAAGTACTGTAGGAAAGGTCTTCTCCATTGACAATTTGTAGATAATAATAGGACAGTCTGTGTAAACAATGCGGAGTAAGGAATTTTGAGTTATATATTCGTAAAAATCTCCTTTCATTTCGACTACTCAGTATTTTTTGTTTTTCTTTCTTTCGCTCGAGCATGTAGCCTATGTGGGTGTCACAACGCCAAATGGACTGTGTAGCTCCACATTTTTAAAAACTGAATAGAATCTGCCTCTTGTATCGCACTAAGGCCAGACTCTTGAAACTTTTGTCCTAATGTTTTCACGTTACGAGAATCGTTTCTACACAAAATTCATATATAGCAGTGGATATAAAAGCATTTCGATTCTGAGGGATGGGCCACAAAATCATTTCTTCGACAGCCGGCCTAGCATGCGCTTCTCAACGATAATTGCAAATTTTCTCATGTTACATCATGAAATAGACTTCCTTTTTTTCATAATTAACATACAGTAATTCTGTACCGAAGGATATTATCAATACCGTAACTAGGCAGATGCAACAGTGCACAGGCACAAGGACTAAGACAAAGAGGTGGGCATAAAAAGGCATAAAAAGCTATTTAGGGAGAATTCGTTTCAGATTTTAGGAGGAATTCTGTTAGTCTTACGCGAATTTTCAGGTCTGTTCAGAGGATTTTTACAACAGAAGGTTGGCAATCGTAGTGAGATACGACATACAGATGTAGGAGAAGTGAGATTTGAAGAAGAATGTATTTAAAATTTAAAATTATGTATAAAACGTAGCTAATACAAGAACAAAAAGTCCTGATAATCTTTCGAATAAATCAGTTCAATCCATTCTCAATATGGCCGTCAAATTTAACTCGACTATTATAAGCGCTATTATAATATAAATCAAATAAAATACTTTTCAGTGGCTCTGAAATATTTATATATCAGAAACATCTGTTTTTCGCCTTGTACAAATATTATATTTTTGAAATAATGAATTAAATTCATGTACTGTATTTAATTTTGTGTATGAGTGAAAAGAAAAAGAAGGTGTCGCTTCAATCGAAAACGAATAACTCAACATGGCGGGAGGCAAGCCACAAGCCATTGACATTACCACATTAGGACTACCACAATTAACCCAATTGAAACAACAATTAGATCAGGTAATGTGATGTAGAAACAGAATCTTAATAAAAAGCGTTATTATAACCATTTCGACAAATAAGTATACGTTTGGTAATTGATCTGTTACGTTAATGATGTATCCACGAGGTTTCAAGCTAGTGATGGACAAAATACTTATTTGTAAATAACAGTAACAGGTTGAAACTTCTGATATGATAACTAATCAAGTTTTTCAACTCGGGAGGAAACTGAATTTAGAAATTGATAATGAATCGTAAAACACCTGATGATGAGAAATGTTTATTAAACAAACATTAACGTTTTCGACTTAATACGATTAGTTAAACTAACAAGTAAATAATAAAATAAAACAAAATATACTAAATGAACTAATACAATAACAATGTAAATAATATAATAAAACAAAAATTAAGGTTAAAGTATACTTAAGTAACCCCAATGGTAGCACTTCGGTTAGGTTAGGTTAGATATTTGAACTCAGGAGTCTGAGACGAGTTCAATGGTACCCTACTGGAGACCAAAAATAAGAAAGTTTTCATACTTTTTTCCAGCGATTGCGCAATGATCGGGAGTTACTCTCTCCACTAAGCCTATTGCGTATTTAATTTAACAGGCAGTCCAGCAAGTCTGCCATATATACCTTCAACAGAGGCAGATGTTGATCCACGAGTACACTGTTTGTCTGCAGTTGGAGTTAAGTCCTTTTCGCACACCCCTGCACTCCTCAACCTCGGGGCATACAGCCCCTCAGCCACTGACACACTCGCAGTCAGCTAATACTACGCGCCATTTTCGCAGCTTGTTTAACAAACCTAACTTATCCCTCTGGGAGATAATAACTCCGGTCCAAAAGTAGGGTACCATTGAATTTGTCTTGATCCCGAGTTCAAATACCTAACCGAATCACCACCATTGGGGTTACCTAGGTATACTTTCACCAAAAATGAAATAAATACACAAAAAATGCCTCTAAGTATAAGGGCAGGTGCAGGCTATGAATTTTTATGTTTTAGTTTTTCTTTTATGGAGAATTTTCATGTTAATACAACCAACCTTTACTTTACTTTTATAGATTTCAATTTTTTCTTCATGCATTGCTAATGATGAGGAATGCATAGGCCTGAGGATAATTGCTTCATTCTATTTAATCACAGAGTCCTTGTGCCATACAGGATAATACTGTGTTGCAGTGCTCTTTAAGTCTGATAGCTAAATTCCTTCTTGTGACCCCAATATACAAGGTCTGTTCAAAAAGTATCGGACCTTTGGTCGGCAAAAATAAATTTATTGACTTTGAGGTACAAAACCCTAATCCCCTTCAAAGTATTCTCCTTGGTAATGTATATACTTCTCCCAGCGTTCCTGCCATTGCTGGAAACACTGCTGGAACGCATTTTTTGGAATGGCCATCAGCCGGTCCGTCGCATTCCGCACGATGTCTTCTCTCGACTAAATTCGGGTTTCTTTTAGCGGTATTTTCAGCTTGGGAAATAGCCAAAGGTCCCACGGAGCCATGTGGGGAGAGTACGGAGCATGACGAACCACAGGAGTATTGTGTTTGGCGACGAAAGCCNCATCTTAAATACTAAATATCATATGATTTATTATTTAAGTAAACCAGACGTTTTCTCTCTTTACTATGTTTCCATTTTCCAACAAGACAATGCTTGACCACACACACCAAGGATGTCAAAAGGACAGCCTTCACCATATTACCACACTTTCTTGACCTGCCTGTCTCCCAATTTCTCACTGAGTGAACATGCCTGTGATCATCTGGGACGCCAAATTGGACAGACTAGAAATTTGACCAAACAGTTCCATATGTAAAAATGTTTTTGAAAAGATCCAAAATAAATTCTAACAATTTAATATACAGGGTTGGCCAAAAGTCACTTCACAAAGGCAAGCTCTTTCTACTGTAAAGAGGAAAACGGGGGTCATTTAAAAGATATTATTTTTCATGTTTAGGCCAAAAACATCTCCAAGATGTGTACATTATAATGTTAAAAAGAAACTTATAAATAATTAAAAGTAAAAACATTACTCCTCACTTAATGACCACTCACACTTACGACCAATTGAGTTTCGATCTGCGATTCGGGAAATCCTCTATCTAAGCTTTAGTCGGTCAGTGGCGAATGGTGACATGCACACTGAGCATACTATAGGCTTGCTATGCACTTTTTCAGTCAGTTTCATTTCAACAAGCGGTCACTGTGTAACCTGTTTTTTTTTTTTTTTTTTTTAAATCATGTCTTTATTATTTCTTAAAATACTGTATAAATTAGGTGCTCTTTCCAAAACCATTTTTGAGTGTTTTTTGTCCAACACTTGTTTCATGATGATCTTGATGTTTGGATTATGAATGAACTTTGAGATTTTAAACTGATTTGTTTGGGTTCTTATTATATTACCTCCTTTATATCTTTTAATTAGTCCTTCTATTGTACTCTTTTTATATAAGCAATGCATGAAGAAAAATCAAAATCTATAAAAGTAGATTAAAGGATGGTTGTATTAATGCCAGAGATGCAGATGGACTAGCTTCCAAATGGAAATTCTACATAAAAGAAAAACTAAAACACGGAAATTCTTATCCCGCACCTACCCTTATACTTAGAGGCATTTTTTGTGTATCTATTTCATTTTTATTTTATTTTACATATGTTATTTTTTTATTTTATTATATTAGTTCATTTAGTATATTTTGTTTTATTTTATTATTTATTTGTTAGTTTAACTAATATTTTGTTTTAAATTTAAATGTAAAAGTGTTCGAATGTTCTATCTTTTAAATGTTAAAATATGTTCGAATTTCGGTTACATCTGAAGATGGCCTAATACGTATTACGTCGAAAATGTTTATGTTTGTTTAATAAACATTTCTCAGCATCAGGTGTTTGATGATTCATTAAGTATTTTAAAGAGCTGAGTATGATATTTAGTTAGAAATTGATATTGAACAGCTAATTGAAAACCACAAGGAAGAATTAGCAGATGCAGAATTGATAGAGATACAACATGAAGAAAATATTTTAAGGATGACTGATGAAGACACAGATGATACAACACATACAATACATTTTATAAAAAATCCAGCAATGAGTTGCTTAACTCTCCTGGTAACATTTGGTGGCACCATCTGTTATGATATTTTATTTTAAAAATGCTATATTTTTAACTATTATAAAATAGCAAAAAGCTTAATTTTGAGGGTAGGGATAGGTTTTATAAAAAATTGTAAATGCTAATAATGAGTAAAATCATCAAGTCTGACCCTACTGAAGATACACGTGACCCCCTTATCTCCCTATCCCATCAAACTTTAATCACCAAAATTTAATTAGCATCAATCTCCTATAAACAAACCTTCCTAAAAAATTTCGGAAATTTTTGATGAAAAGCACAGGAGTTATTAAATCACCATCAAAATAAAATGTGTGTGTAACTATCTTCTATAAATATGCAAATTTATGTAAATCTATTGTAAAATACATGTAAGTTACATCCATGCTTTTAGTTGTTTTATTTGCTTATTGATGTTATATGCATTTATTTAAAATTAAATTTAAGATATACAAATTTAAATAAAATGTATGCAAATGTATGGGAAATGGCAATTCACTATACAACCACTATTTGATGGTACACATTATGTATGTAACCTGGGATATGGTTGTACAGGTAACCCCCGTATAACACGGCACTTCTATAGCACGGATTTGCTCTAACATGGTTTGAGAATTGGGTAAAACCCTAGTACAACAGGAAATGTAATAAATTTTTACATACTTAACTAATAATAGTTCACAAAAATTATTATTTTCGTGAACTATTAGTACTTAAGTAAATTTTCTCTTCTCGCCTTCTGTTGATACAGGTGGTCCTTCTCAAAACTTGTTTCAATGTTGCCAGATCGCGACGCTTCTGCTTCTGATGTTGCCGAATGTTTTTCCCTTATTCCATACTTGCTTTATTCTTCATAAGTACTTAGCACCATATAAGGAAATTTATAAAGATCTTTTAACTAGAAGCAAGCAATCTAAAATTACATACATTTTGCAAAAGGTAAAGCATGGATCTGAAGATAATGCAGAAAAATGCTCAGAGGATAAGGATAACTTGCCAAAAAGAAAACGCTCTCGGTTAATTAATAGTGTTTTTAGTGATGACGAAGAAAACATTGTTTAATTTATATTAATATGTATCACCTTAAAAAATTTTAATGAAGATATTTATCTTAATTATGAAAATATACTAGCATGTTTTTTAATTTTTGGAACCTAACCCTCCTTTTCGTATTAGTTCTTTGTTTCGTATAACACAGCAATTTTTTGGAACGTAATTACCGTGTTATACGGGGGTTACCTGTATTAATATATGACTTTAGAATGTATATATTTTATTTTAACAATATATACATATTTTTTGTTTAATATCCATATAATATATTAATAATCTACAATCACACAAATATATATCAGTTTGTGACAATTTATGTATTGATTTATGATGTAACTAGCAGATGATCCCAGTGTTGCTCAAACAAAAAGTAACGATAGCGAAGATTAAGATTATTAGATTATAGCCAATCTTACCCATTTTCACCGGGTGCAAGAATTAGGTTCACCCTTTTCTGAGACAAATTAGAGAATTTTTAGATGGGTCTAAAAATATGTTTGATTTCCTGCAAAAATGCAAAAAACCGTATCTAAAGTAGTATAGTAGTAGCAGAGTTCTTCAATGTAATACTTAATCCTCTCCCTCTCCGCACGGGGAGGGAGAGGATTAAGGAAATCCTTTCTTAGTGTACATTTTCGTGAGTACCCTAAATGTGTACCAAATTTCAACTTTAAACTCCTAACCATTTGGGCTCTGCACTTATTATTATTATCAACCCATCTCAATTATATTTTAAGATAGGCAGATTAGTTTTGTTTATCACTGTATATGTTACTGGCCAAACCCGATTTCAGGCCAAACTAGTTTATCCTATGTGTGTGAGGATATACTAGTTTGGCCTAGGCCGAACTGATTTAGAATTATTATTTAAGTCAGGCCTGGCCAACCCAAATTGTTTTGTGGGCCACTTTGATCAAGCGTAACATTACAATGGGCCACAATTTAGGCAAACATGCTTTTAAAAAAGTAAAACAAATACAAAATGAATAAGATTTCATTGTTATACCAAGAGTTCGTACTCGCACTTGCTCGTTATAACAATGACACATCCAAATTTTCATTTATTTAATTGTTTTGGTATACACAAAACAGAAAATGAAAGTTTTAATAGATAAAGAATATCACTTAGCGTGCCACACAATTTAATGTGATGGGCCATGGGTTGGCCAGGCCTGATTTAAGTATATTAATGGTTAAAATAAAATTAAAAGGCAATCAATTAGATGAACAATACAGTAGACCCCCTATAACACTGTTGATAATTCCCTTTTATATGAATTCCATGTTGTATGATTCACTTAGATTTTACAAATATGTGAGCTGTTCACCTCCCGGCACACATATTTATAAAATCTAAGTGACTTGTACAACATGGAATTTATATAAAACGGAATTATCAACAGTGTTATAGGGGTCTACTATATTTATTCAAACATAGTCTACTTAATTATAAAAAACGGTATTGATTAGAAGTGACACAACACTTGTACAAAACTATAAAATAAAAATAAGCTAATCAGTACTTATCAGTTTGTATTTTTTTTATTAAGCCATGCACTTTTAAAGGTAATTAACTTTCAAGAATATTTTCAAAAATTAAAACGAAATAATAAAAATAACTTTTAAAGTCAAACTAAACTTAAAAATGAACTTGTGTTTCTTAGTGTAACATAAAATATTTAATGTTTTATTTATTTTTACAGGGTGGGTTAAAGTGTACCTAGATAACCCCAATGGCGACACTTCGGACTGTTTGTGCTCCCGGAGGGGAGCTGCCAGCAGGCCGCCCATTGTTTAACGTCACTAGTTATTGATTCACGGTAGTTCTTGAACAAAAGAAAAAAAAGGAAACATCTACTAAAAATGTAGTTAACCGAACCAAACCAACCTAACCGAAGCACCGCCGTTGGGGTTACTTAGGTACACTTTAACCACCGGGAGTACTGTGGTGGCATTTTGAATTACATAAAATAATTTTTTTTTACACTGGCATCAATTTGTAGTACATAAATCAGTTCGGCCTAGGTCAAACTTGTTAAGCCTAAAGTATTTAGGCCAAACTAGATTATCCTAGGCTAAACTAGTATATCTTGATAAACTAGTTGGCCCGAAATTGGGTTTGGCCGGTAACATATACGTATAATTGGAAATATAGTTGTAACTTAAATGAACATTATAAATCATTTCAGTTAAGTATAACTACCTATATCTATATTACTTGAATGTTTTTCAGGTTGTAAATATAATTAATTACACTTCTATGCATTCAAAGCTAGAACTATTTAAAATAAGTAAGATAAAACCTTAATATATTATTTAATCTTTAAATAAAAACTTAAACCTACAAGATTGTTTTGAAATTTAAAAACATTATTATAATGCAGTAAAATGCTATTTGTTTATATTTTTGCTTTAAATAAAATTTTATAATTTTACATTGATTACTTCAGTTTTGTGATAACCATCACTTAGGAATATGGACAATAATATATTGATCTTGCAGGCTTCCAAATAATGATTATGACTGAGTTATTTTCAAAACAAAAGATTGTTTGCATTATTATAAACACTTCAGAATTGGCAAACTATAATTGAATATATGTTATGAAATAAACGTCTCAAAACATTGAATACTTATATTTTAAAAGAATAACAGAATTCAGGACTTTTGATAAACAAGCTCTGTTTAAGCATATTAATTTTACTCTCTACTACTTAAACTAATTATAATTAAAACATTCAATTACAAACTTTAAACTAATATTTTTATATTATTTATTATATATTATATTTGTATTATTTTCAGGAAATTGATTTATTTGGAACTTCACTTCAGCAGTTAAAAATAGCACAGACTAAATATCAAGAATCTGGTGAATGTGTTGAAAAATTAATACCTGAAACTGAAGGAAAGGAAATGTTGGTACCATTAACAACATCTGTATCCTTATTTGTGATCTTTAAAATGAATATTTTATTATATTACACTATCCAGTAGAATGTGAATATTGTTATATCATGTAATGTTATCAGAATTAGCAATTCCAAAACAAGATTAAAATACTCTTATAAAACCTTGTATATTGTGATTAGAGTTCAATTATAGTTATTTTTTTTATTTTTTATTTTTTTCAAGTAAATATACTTTTAAGTTGTCATTTTGTACTATCTCATCATATAATTCATAATGCACAATTGTTATCAATTATCAATCTTAAGCAGTACTTCAAATATTAATTATTTTAATTATTTGCTTGCAGTAGAATAGTTTAAATTGATGTTATTTGTTACTTCACTTATGTGCTAGTAATAGTTAGATATTATTAAGAAAAGTCAGCAAACAGCATTAAGATTACTATAGATTATCAAATAGAAATATAGAAAAGTCTGTATCAACTTATTTGAAAAATACTGTATTTATCAAAAGCACAATATTATTTTATTATTTTTCAAAATAACTTTGTTTTTAAATGGTGACTGTTTGAAACTCAAATAGAGCAGTGAAACTTGTGACAGCTTAGTTAATTATTTAGTGTAGTTATTACATAATGTGTGAAGGAGTCATCACTTATAATGGTGTTTCCTTCATATTCCATAGAATAACATAACATTCACATACCTTGTATTTGCAATGATATGCTATTGAAACATTGGGAAACAGAAGAGAGAGGTTACAATAGGAAATTCACTTTCAGGGATCTTATGTGAATTGGTATTGAAATTGTCGGAGAAGTCTGTAATTCCAGTATTTCAACAGAATATCTTTGTGTATACAAAGTTGATATTTATTGATTAAATTTATTAGTTTTCTATTTTAATCGTTTTTGTTAAAATTTATAATAGTGTCTTTGACTCTAATTAAGATGTATGTTCCTGGTAATATTGTTGATGTTAATAAAGTAATTGTTGATATTGGAACTGGATATTTTGTTGAAAAAGTAAGTAATTTATACTTATCATGTTTGTATCTATTATCATATATATTATTTAATAGAGTTCAAAGCAACTGGCAGCTATATTACAATATCATTTCAATTAAACTGTGGCTTCAGTTGTGAAATTCTTTGTATCTATCTGATTTATTTTAAACAGATATTGTGTATATGATAAAAATAATGTTAATTATTTTTTTATATACACAATGTACACCCTTGCTAATTAAAAAATACTGTCTAATAAGACTGATGTTAAATAAAAACTTAACATTAATACTTTATATATGAGGGCAGTTTTTTCAACCTCCAATGGTCCATAAAACAAAGACGAAGTGTAAATAACAAAATGAATTTATTACCATAAGTTAGGTACAAATATGGTTACTTTTTGACATAATCACTGTGAAGATTGAGGCATTTGCCTATTTGTGGACAAGCTTTGAAATCCCCTCTTCATAGAATGTTGCCGCCAGTGATTGAGGTGGTCCTTAATATTGTTTTGAAGATCATCATTACTCTCAAACCTCTGCCCTGCTAACCAAGTTTTCAGTTCAGGAAAGAGGTGGAAGTCTTCACACATTAAAGGTGTGAAGACTGTCACCTTTTAGATTTTCACCTAGCTTGGAACTTTTAACCTATTGGATGTTCAAAGTTTTCTCTGAACATCCAATATATCCATATGATGCCATGTTAAATTTTCATCAATGTTAAGCCTAATGAAAATTACACATTTTTGAAAAGAATAATTGTGACTATTGTATCATATGAAATTATTATTTTATTTGTCACAAACAAAATAGATATATTAATAAATGTAATAACCAAAAAAAATTTATTTTGAAAATTACTTAAATATCAAACCCAGCTTCATTTAAAACAATTAACAAAACATTAACACCTTATATCACTGAGAATACTTTATTTAATCACAAACGTTTTCAGCCTAATGGATTAACAGTTCACCTGATGATGGCCTATCGAATGTATTTCAAACTTGTAGCAAATTGAACATTCAATCATTATAAATTCAAAATTAAAATGAAAAATAAACTAGTAAATCAATAACCAAAATAAATATACTAAATACTTTGAAGCCAGAACAATATAAATAACATTAATTATAACTTGAAATAAAATAAACAAAATAAAATAAAATAAATACATAAAAGATTAAATGTATAAAAAAATATACCAAAAAGGCATCACATTATAAAGGGCAAATAGGGACTAAGAATCTGTATGTTTCAATTTTTATTTTATAAAGAACTTCCATGCCGAAGCTAAACCATCTGAATCTCTAGCATTGATGCAGCCATCCCTTAATTTACTTTTATAGATTTCTATCTTTTCATGTTGCAAAGTCAGCGATGGGAACCGCACAGCCTTGAGAATAGATGCTTCATTCCATTTGAAAATTAACAACTAGGAATTAAGAAGGGCTATATTGAAGTCACAAGACGGAATTTGGCTGTTAGACTTAAAGAACACAGATATGACATTAGTAAAGTACACTGTAACATGGTTTTGTCTAGTATGGCACAGGCGGAGGCTTCTGCGGAAGGTAGCTCAATGACCACAAAGTTTATAAAAAAAGCAATTTATGACAAATGAAAACATACAAAACCTGTTTTGGTAAGCCAGACTTGTTTCACTTTTTTGGACAATTACAGACAAATGAAATAGTCATGTAGACTTTACAATATTCAAAAACTTGATGGATTACAAACCAAAAATAGAACAAAAACATTTTTAAACATCACAATTCACAAAAATTGAAATTTTCAGTACAACTTTATCAGTTCATTTTAGTAGAGGCAGAGAGTGTCTTTTACATGATGTTTGAGATAAGCTGCCTCCCTCTGCTCCTTCACTATTTACTCTGTCTTCTTTACAGCTTGCATCTTTTTTTCAGTATTTGTGCTACTGCTTGAGGATATTGGTTCTGCTGTTTCTTCACCACTTCTCTTCAAGTCTTTCATTCTATGTTTTCTGTTACGCATCTGTTTTTGTCTTTGTGCAAATCATTTCTCCTTTGCAGTTAATTTTACATTCACACCTACCATTGATCCTTTACATCTTTTCACACAGAGCTAACAAAAACTCACAGTCCTCTGGAATTTTTATCATTTTGAGTGCTCTAAAATGAGAAATGTCAAAAAGTTTGTCTAGTTTACTAACAAATTCAGTCTCATTTCTTTGCTGTGTTAGATTGTCGCCCTTTGATTTTTCTTCAGCAAATGCCATTCTTCGAATGTTCACTCTAGTTTGGTTATGCAGTTTCTTGGATCCATCATTGGGAACCTTGCTATTTCATAAAATATTGCCAACTTTTTGACTGTAACAGCTGATGACTGTCTGATAGTCTGTTTCAGTTGAAGATATACAGTAATACCCCAAACTTACGCGATAGGTGGGACCGAGCGATAACCACATAAGTTGGGGTATAATTTTGCAATTTGTGTAAAATCCAAGTCAGATGTATGTAAGCTAATAAATGTTCTCGTTAATCTTATCTCGTCTTTTGATTCGTTCACAGTTACAAGAAATCACCACATACAGAGTCTCTCAAGTCTCCGTAGATATAACAAACAAAACATAAATTGTAGCTATGTGTCAATTCCATGCGACACGTCTGAACATGTAAGCTGAACAATAGTGTGGGGAATGAGTAATCAAGAGTTGCATTGCACTCAAACAAAAGACGAATCAACAAGATTTGAAAATTGCGTAACTCTGGGTTCGCGTAAGTCGAGATATTACTGTAAAAACAAACCAAGAGCCTGACTTGTTGCCGGTTAATTCAGTTATTGTTGAACCAAGGAGGTACGCTTCAGTTTTAGATCTAGTTGTTGCTGCTGCCATATTTATTATTTAATAACTTTGCCAAAATTAACAAAAATGTATTGTGTGATTTGTTTGAGCAGTTTCTGAATTATATAGTCTATGCATCTGATGATATCAGAAGTCCTTCAGTGACGTGCCTGAACTTGTCCATAAAAACCAAATAGCCAATAAATGTTGATGTAGGCAGTATGGGTTACTGAGTCAGTCTCAACCAGAGACAGGAAAAAACATTTGCAGTAAGACTTGATGATGTCAGCAAAATAATGATCAAGAGTCATGACAGAAATTAATTTTGTGGAAATGTCATGTAACTAATGTGTAATTAAATTAATGGTTTATTTATTGAGATGACCAACTACAGTTTTAGAAACTGTTGTACTAAAATGAATACATTGTGGTTCAAGCTTGTGATTGCCATATGCTTATCCTTACTATTTGGAATCTATAAAAATTTGGTGACATTGTGCTACCAGTAAATATTCACCAATTGAGTAGATGTTTGGCACAAATTTTTTCTATGTATATTTGAACAGAAATAGAAGGTAGGAGGGTCACATTTACAAATGTGAAAATAAGTTCCACCCTAATGTATATATGTATAACAGATGAGAGAGAGAATAACTTTCTCTTATTTGCAATGCAACATATAATAAAAGAAAGGAGAAGTATTTCTTTGTATTACTTTCAAATCACATTAAACTAATGTCCATTTTTAAGGCCGTTATAGATGAAAAGTTCAAAATAAAAAATGTTCTTTTTAATTAAATATAAATTTCTGTTATAGCATTTACTGAATTTGTCTTGCTAGTACTCAATAGAAAAACATCAACTTTGAAAAAATTAAGTATCAAAACGTTCAAATATTTATTAATAATTGTATTATTTCTAGCATTTTCTTAATACATTCTTTATATTTTATATATAGAATACATAGGTATCAGAAAATTACTAAATAGTTATAATCATTTCATCAACAATTTTATTTCAAGATTGGAGACAACTGTTCCAATGTAGAATATTTCTGACAAATTTTTTAGAAGTTTGTTTATTATCATCAAACACATGTTTGTAACATACTGTTGAATTTTTTATGAAAATTTAAATATAATTACAAAATATTTTGAAAGAAATCCAGAATTCATTATGATATTAAGAATGCCAAATCAGATATTTGGCATTCTTAATATCATAATTTAATATCTGATTGAACAGAAAGTTCTCACACTTTTGGATGCATTTCATTTAGCTAAGAAAATTTTATGTACAGAATTGACTTCAATCATCAATGTAATCACCGTTGTTGTTGAACACTTCCTGCCAGTGCTTATGCAAGGAATGGATGCCATCTTGATAAAACTCTGGTGGCTGCGACTCAAAGAAGTTCGTCAGGCTGGCCTCCAAGTCTGCTTCATTGTTGAACTCCTTATCTCCAAACGTACGCCGTAAATCCATCGGGCTAGTTTTATGGCTAATTACTATATTAATTACATAACGAATTTGGTACTAGAGGTAAGCGTTAGGCGCCATCTCTTATTAATATTAATAATTATAAATAAATTAATTAATTTAAATAATTTAGAACCGCTGGGAGAAAAAATCGGCCCGGAGCGGGACTCGAACCCACAACTCCTGCTTACCGTGCAGATGCGTTGCCAGTTACGCTACCCGGACCTCCAGTACGATCTCCTCTTCCAGCGTATAACTATGTAACCATCGACGGTTATTACAATGCCGGCTGGGGACACATTCAGTGCCCANAGAGGAGATCGTACTGGAGGTCCGGGTAGCGTAACTGGCAACGCATCTGCACGGTAAGCAGGAGTTGTGGGTTCGAGTCCCGCTCCGGGCCGATTTTTTCTCCCAGCGGTTCTAAATTATTTAAATTAATTAATTTATTTATAATTATTAATATTAATAAGAGATGGCGCCTAACGCTTACCTCTAGTACCAAATTCGTTATGTAATTAATATAGTAATTAGCCATAAAACTAGCCCGATGGATTTACGGCGTACGTTTGGAGATTAGCTATTACATCGGGTTTAGCGATGATCGTTGAACTCTTTGCCAGCCAGGTGATGGTTGAGTGTGGCGAACAGGTGGTAATCCGAAGATGCAATGTCATGGCTATACGGCGGGTGGGGAAAGACATCTCAGTTCAGGTCCAGTAGCTTTTGGCGGGTCTGCTAGCTGTATGTGGCCATACATTGTCATGCAGCAGGATTGTGTTCCGGGCAGGTCTCTGCCAGTTTCTGCTGCGGACGTCGAGTTGTTCACAGTAGAAAGTTGCGTTGATGGTTATATTTTGTGGCAGCAACTCGAACATGATGATTCCTTTAGAATCCCAGAAGACAGAGTGCATGATCTTGGGTTAGGGACAGTGTCCAGGCCTAATGCAGCATTGATGTCAGTGATAGAATTGGCCGCTTTTTTTTGGAACAATAGTCATAAACGAGAAGCAGGCGAACTTGCTCTTTGGTTAGCAGATGTTGGTTGGTCATGGTAAAGCAGAATGAGAGGACTGGATTTGGTATTTTCTTATAGCATGTACCCCGAGCTGTTTATATATTAATACTACCATGGAACATTCTAGAATGTTCCAGAAAAAAGTTATTCTAGAAAGTTCCAAAAAGTGTAAGAACTTTCTGCTCAATCAGATAAGTCCCTAATGTATTCCAAATATTGAAATTTAGCAGAAAATATATTGGATTCTTGGATAATTCGATAAGAATTGTACAATAAGCTTATTTATTGATGATGAAAATTTGTTGCTAAAATAATACATTATACCATCAGTTGAGAAATTTCATGATTAATTTCTTTACTTAACATGAAAGTATTTTAACAAAAATTAACAAATGCTAAAATGATCAGTTTACTTTATCCTTATTAAATATATTGTATAAATTGTTGATTTATCTTTTTTAAAAAGACATTTTTAATATTGTATTATTTGATTTATTTCAGGATATTCCCTCTGCAAAAGATTATTTCAAGAGAAAAATTAATTTTGTAACTCAGCAAATGGAAAAGATTCAGCGGTTAGCTAATGAAAAAATTACAATGCGAGATGGTAAATTTTTTAATCCTTTCTTTAAAGTAAAAGTAGTACTTTTTATTTCATAATTTCATATAATAATGACCAGAAGTTTTCATTTATTAGTTTTCAATGTTTATTGTGAAAAATACAAAAGATAATAAAGATATTATTTTTGAATAATGGAAACTAAATAAATGGAGTTAATTATAAAAAGAATAAGAGACTTATTTTGATTGGGATAGTGTTTAAATCTTTAAAAAAGTCAAGGTTTATGGTTGTAAATTATTCTTTTAAAACTTAATGCATGTTGGAGAATTTTCTTTCTCTCTAAAAATTCTCTCTTATATGTTTACTTTATATAAAAAACTAATTATATATGTTTGCCTATTTTCTAGTTGAGGCTGAAACTTTTTTCAAAACTATATTGGGGTTTATTGTTTTATATTTAATTCTGTCAGTACTTACAAATGATTTTAGAGTAGTTAGAGTTAAACTAAAGAAAAATAAAGAAAAGGAATCAAAACCTGAATAAAAGGATTTCTTGCCTTTGTATTTAGGTTTTGATTCCATTTTTTTTTATTTTTATTTTGTCAAACCACATCTTTCTCAAAATGGAGGAATGGATTGGAGCTGATCTTTGAAACTGCTTTGCAGAAAACAAGAGGAAGATCAATATTTTGTGTAGAATAAATATGTACAGTAGAATCTTATTTTAATGGATCAGAGAAGAATGGATTTCACAGAATAACAAGATTTTTACCCAGGTCTCACCAAATCAATGTAATTTTACCCCCTTTTTGCAGATCCATAACTCAGAATAATGGATTTTTTTCAACTATCTGTTGTATATTGGCATTTTTTTTTTCAAGATTTAGTTAATATTTGGGTGTTTCTGAGAATTTGTAATTTAATGATGCACTTTTTTACATCTGGGATTGTATAATTCTTTATACAATATGATTGAGGAGGAGCCACCTGATGAATATTCTGATGTTGACCCAAGCATAGTGCTGAAATTTAGTGAGGCCATGGAGCCTTTCTAAGTTGCGAAGATTATCCTGATGAGTTTCAGAATAAAGGAACAGGTTGTACTGTATAATACAGCAATTCCCAACCAAGGGTGTGTGCTTGGTGGTTTAGTGGTATGCAAAAAAAAAATTAATAATGGCAGATGTACTATAAGAATATTTGGATTCTGCATTGAGGCCTTTGGCAACATCACAGCACTCGATGCTTAGTTCTAAATAAATACATATAATTATGTTTTTATCATATGTTTTTTATGTCCTTCCTCCAACACTTTTCACTTAAACTAATTTGTAAGTACTGATTGTAAGTGCTATATAATTGACCAAAGTGCCACTGTTTGACAAACATTTTATTATTACAAATTCTACTGGTGCTAACATTTTGACATTCTATAATTTTGTTTACATTACACATTTTAAAGTAAGCAGGATGTTCAATGGATCTGGAAAGCCTGGAAATGTCAGAGAATTTATCAGATAAGGGAAAGTCATGGAAATCTCAGGAAATTGGTATTGAACCTGGAAAAGAAAAAAAAAATTATTATTTTAGCATGTATAATAGAAAAAGAACAACAGAAATGTGCACATTGTTGTCATATGATATGAATGATGATCTAAGATAAATTTAATTAGCATGCATAATGTAAAGTATAATAATTAGTAATTATTTACTTCAATGTTTTAAGAAAATATTGAAAAATTTGAATTATGTGGCTTTAAATTGTTACATTAAAAAATAAGCTATTTACAATTGGAAAAAAAAAAACACTTTTTCTACATTTTTAAGTGTTGTCTTGTGGGATTCACTGAAAAGCAGTTGGCAATCCTAGCTAGCAGTTGGTTTTCTTTGGAAATGAAGTTGTAGAGGTGGTCTGATCACAACACAGTTTCAAAGCTCTTACTGAGTAAATTCTTTGGAGAATCCATCTATACTTTAGCAATGCTTGCAATTTATGATTGCAGGGTTTAGAACTGGTCAATGTTTTAACTAAAAGTCAATTTTTTCATTTGTCATTATTTTTGCAAAATGTCATAAAGAGTCTCTTTTGGAAAGATGTTACTATACAATATTTATTCTATTTTAACGTGCACTTTTTTCAACTTTTTGAGAAGCTGAGAAATGAAGTGCATATTAGATTCAAAGTATAAGTAAGGAGCTTGGAAGCAAAACATGTTAATTTTAATAGATGGGTGATACTCAGATGAAATAAAATCAATTAACCATGGTTAAATCTGTTCAAATTAAAGTTTTAAGATGCTATAATACTGGAAATGATACTTATGTCACTTTAAAAATTTATAGCATGTAAAACTTGTTATTTACAGTCACAAGACAATAAACATATCTAGTATTTTATATATATAAAAATGGATGTGTGTGTCCCTATATTTCACTTTTCAGCCAAAACTACACATTGCACATGAATGGTGTTTGTATGTGGTAGTAGCCCCAAGTCTCCATTCGTGCACTATGGTGATTGCATCTCGATAGCTATAAGGGTGAGGGAGATATGGGGTTGAAAGTGGTTGACTTCGAAGATTTTCTATTTCGATTTAAAAAATTTTCGAATTTGTATTGGTTTGATTATAGAACGATTGTAAATGTTCCAGTAAATTCATCAAATTGAAAATAGTTCGTTTGACTGGACGTAAAAATTCTCTAATTAGTCTGGAAACGGGGGACCTAATTCTTGCATTCTGTGAAAACGGGTAAGATTGGCTATAATGTAATTATCTTAATCTTCACTATCGTTACTTTTTGCCCACAAATAAAAACCCAGCTAAGTGGGTCCTTGCAGCTAGTAAAAAATAAAATCTAACAAATTAGTGTTTTCATTAAAAAAAATAATTGTTTGATCAATAATATGTTCATTCAAATTTATAATACAAATTATATGTAATATAATAAATAAACTGTCATTTAATGCAGAGATGCGATATGTTTTTTGGTGAATGCATTCTTATACTTCCATTTTTTTTTAACAGCAATATGAAATTAATGGTCACTTCTTGGTCAGTAATTTCTTGACATCTGTCACCTTTTTAACTATTTCCTTAATAAAAGTCTGGGTACTTTTCTGTTAATGAGATGCTAGTTGATATATACAGTACAGTGTAAAGAAATGTATTTTAAAATAATAAAATAGCTATTTCAATAGAAATAAATTTTAATAGAAATGTATATGTTACAGTCAAAACCCGTTTTTAGTTAGAACGTGTTTTAACTAGTTGAAACTAGTTTATACTGAATGTCTTTGTTAAAACCCGTTTTGTCTAGTTGAAACCAGTTTATACTGAATGTCTTTGTTAAAACCCATTTTGTCTAGTTAAAACTAGTTTTAACTCAAATGCATTTTTGACTAGCAGTAAATTCTAGTTTTAACTAGACAAAACGGGTTTTAACAAAGACATCCAGTATAAACTAGTTTTAACTAGTTAAAATGCATCCTAACTAAAAACTGGTTTGACTGCAATGCATAGAGTGATTCGGGATAAGATGGTAAGCAGGGGAAGATACCTAATTTTTGATATTTTCAAACGGTGACGTCACATATTGTCATGTATTTGTATGATGAATCGTTGGGCCAATATTGAGTGCGGAAAGCTGTAGTTGGCTACCGTTACTTCATTTTCTACATCCGAGAAGAATAAAAGCTAGATAAGAACGAAGTTTTTGTTGTGAAATGTTTCTAGAATAATTTTAAACTAAAAGTTAAAATGGAATTTATTAAAAATTGCTAAAAACAATTAATGTGTGATGTAGTTAAGGTTCTAAAGTTTCCATTGTCAGCTACCGCCGATCCCGATCGGACATGCTGGAGCACGTGACTCTACTAGGCATCTTACCCCAACAAATGGAAAATATGCCACATTTTTCTTGGGGTAACGTGCCTATTTTTTGTTAATTGATTTCCAATATGCCTATTTTTAATAAACTTTTGTTTTCTCGTTTTATTGCAGGATATGCATAGAAATTATATAAGGACTTCTCAAAAAAGTTTTTGGACTGAAAAAAGCTTTCAGCTAGCTATAGAACACGTTAGAACGGGCGGAAACTTAACAATACTTATACTGTGCTGTTATACTTACTATGAAGTACTTTGTACTACATATGCAATAAATTAAATTTGGTTAAGAAATTCAAAAATTAATTTTAAGCAATTATATTTGTTATCTTACCCTAATGGCATTTGGCATCTCACCCAGATACTTGGGGTGAGATGCTTAAAATGCCAGACAGTGAAAAAGTCGTCATTGCAAACACAGTATAGAATTTTTTAAAATAAACTCCAAACTTTTATTTGAAAGACATACTCCAGAATATGATATTTTCATTAGAGGGCTCCTAAACTCAAATTAGCGCTGTAATTTTCTTCATAAGCAAAATGTTAGGCATCTTCCGCCGAATCACTATACATAACTTTATTTCCCCCAAACATATTTATGTAGCTAAAATTAGTTTTAACTAATGTTAAAAGTTAAAACTAGTTTTATCTAAAGTCAAAACATGTACAGCAGTAAATTAACTAGACAAAACCGGTTTTGTCTAGTTAAAACTAGAATTTACTGCTAGTCAAAAATGAATTTGAGTTAAAACTAGTTTTAACTAGACAAAACGGGTTTTAACAAAGACATTCAGTATAAACTAGTTTCAACTAGTTAAAATGCGTTCTAACTAAAAATGGGTTTTGACTGTAACATATACATGACGTCAAAAATTGTAACAAAAAAAGATGGAAAAAGATGTTAAATTCCTAATCTGCTTTGCAAGATTTAATTTTTTTGGTTTTGTTTTAATCTATTTTTGCATTTTTATTAGAATTTTAATTATTTTGTGTTTTATTAGATCTACTTGACTTTTATTACTCTCGTGCTTTTTCATTATGTCAATAAGACAACAGAATCATGCATGAGATTACAATTATGACTAGTACTTTTCTGTTAAAGGGATGCCAAAGTCTGTTCTGACCCTATGATTGCAGATTTCAGATAGTAAATTAAAAGGTTCTGTGAGTTCCATTACCGATGTGCATCTCTGTACAGTACATACAAATATTGGAATTATACAATTTTTTTTGCATACCCCTAAACCACCAAGCATGTACCCGTGGACCTTGGATATGCCACTAAAGATTGGAAAATTAGAAAAGTTAGAATGAAGGTAGTAACTGACAGAGTGATATTAGAAATTTGAAAAGACTGTGCAAACTGTTTAAGTTACAACCACCAAATTGTTGCGAAAGTTGCCACTGAAATATAAATTGACCAAGAGACTGTCATGCCTAAATCCAGCTACAAGGAATAGAGAGAAAGCACAAGAATTTCTAGATATTACATTAGAAACTCTTATGGCTAATAACTGGATAAATGATTCTACAGGTGATTAAAATTGCTAAGCAATACAAAGACATTTTTAACATCCCCAGGAATTAGTAATTATGGTTAGACACTCCTACAGACAGCATGACAGGTTTGATTCTTTCTGGCTTACTTAGTCTGTCACATCAATATGATAAAGTAAAAGAATTTGAAACATTTGTGAATATTTCAATAATTCTCATGATTTTACTAATGTCCCATGGTAATGCTCATATGAAATGTGGATTTTCCACAAGTATGTTTAATGGAAAACCAGGAAGAAGATACATATGTAGCTTACAGGAAATTACATGATGTAGTCATGTCAGCTAGTGGATTGGGAGAATTAGATATATCAAAATAGTTTATCCATGCAACTTGAATTGCAACTCAGAGATATAAGGAAGCTATGGCAGCTTGTAAACAGAAAGAAATAAGGCAAGAGAAAGAGTGGAGTGAACTTGATGGCTGTAGAAATGGTGAAAAAGCTAAAGAAAAAGATGATGATTCTTGCAGAAGCAAATAAGGAAATTGGGGACATTTGGAAGAACTGCAAAAAGGTTTATTTTATTCTATAATTATATATCACAAAATTATCACACACTATTAATTACTCACTGTGAATTGCATAATATGGAAAATTGTATTGGGTTTACATTATGAGATTGAAAGTGTCAATTTGAATTTCCATATTTTAATAAAATTGTTATGTTGAACCTGTACAATCTTCTGCATGTTTTCAAGCTACAATACCTGAATTGATTAATCAAAATGAAGAAATTAATCATATTTTATAATAAAGGGAATTGAATAGTCTGAGTTTCATTTGGTAATATGAAATAAATTGTGAGTTGTTTCATTTAGTCAGGGAAAAATGCAGGTTTTCATCCTGAAAAACCTGGAAATCTCAGGAAAATTGGAAATTGTTGGACACCCTGCTAAGTTTTTAGTTAGTTTTTACAGTATTTATTTTATATTTAATTTAATCAATTTGCAGGGATTTATGCCACCACACAATTATACACTTTTTTATTAATTAATTTAAAAATTACTGTATAAAAATCGATATCATTCAAAATTAAAATTAATTTCTAATTAAAATAAATTCATTTATGGTTAGATATGGATTTAGTCATGTCAGATAGTGGATTGGGCACTTAAACTCCTTGGCCACTTGGCCCACCAGTGGCCAAGCACTTCCATTTCATGATAGTTCGGTTGTGGGTCCACACATCGCCAGGACAGACTGGCCATATGGAGGTTTTCTCCATGTCTCTAACACCTAAATAGGACCCAGTTACTGTTAAAAGACCTCCCAAAAGGCATTCCCATTAGAGATTGCACTGCTGTAACAAACAAATGGATCAGCGGTTGAAAAGTAGTACAGTAAAAAAGCTGAAACAAAAGTTTGGAAAATTATCAGTTATCAAGCATTTCTCAAGACACACACAATGTTTTGGTGCAAAACACTGAAAAGGTACCATGTTCAGTTCTGCAGGGAGGTAAGAAGAGAAAATACTGTGATGAATACATGAAATATTTATTTTTATATATAGGAGCTGATGACTGTCCTGAATAGAAATGTGTAGTGTGTGGGGAAGTGCTATCAAATAGAAGCATGAAATTTTCCCTACTTTTACAGCATCTGCAAACAAAACATGCCAATTATAAAAACAAGGATTTGATTTTATTATTATTATCATCGTATTTCAATTTTGACATAGTATATCTTGCCAGCTAATAGAGATTATGAAAATGAAGCTATTATTAGTTTCTTTTTTATTAACCAATTTCAAAAAGCAATGCTGTGGTAAGTATTGATAGAAGATTAGATGAAAACACTGAGCATTAAACATTTGTACCTATACAGATAACCTTTTCATTTTCATCAATTCAGCAGCCCTGTGCACCTTCCTTGCCATGCCACATCACTGCTATTTATTTACAGTTTATATAGTTGTATTTTAAACTCGTGTAAGTACAAACATTTTTTTAATGTAAGGGGTACAATTCAGGAAAATGGACTGCCAAGAGGTACACAAGTCAAAACAGGTTGGAAACTGTTGGTATAATACATAACATTGCTAATATCGAGCACTGTTGTATTCAATAGGCAAGAAATCGGTATCAGAACAAAGATGATTTTTTTAACAAACTGAAGGCAAGTGGTAATGAGCATATGTACAGTAGATACAGTTTCTGTTAACTTTGTCATATATGTGTATGATCTTGTAACATACATGTTTCTATAGAATAGAGATTTCAAGAGACTATATAAGAAATACCTGTACTTAAAATTATTCATAGGGATTAAATAATGGATATTTTCCTGAATGGGTGAGAAATCCATTGTTTGTGATATAATGGATTCTCAGAACAATGGATAATTTTTAGTGGCCGAGTGATTCATTGAAACAAGATTCTATTTATTTATTTTTTATTTTATTTTCCCAAAAGACACTGGCCAGGTTGGCCTTTTACAAGCATCTTAACAGCAAATCAACAAAAAAAATTTTTTTTTGTAGTTTATAATAATAAGAGATGAAAAGACAAGAAATATGCAATGAGGAATGAAGATAAGTTTGGATGAAAATTTGACATAGAACCAATTTTTTTTCTTAAACGTTGCACTACAATTTACACTACTTTATTATTATCACTTTTAAGATCAAATCATCAGTTTTGTTTGTATGACAAGTTTGCTTTTGCATGATTTGCTTTCTAATTTTCATTTCTTTGCTTCATTTTTCTGAATATCATTAATTTTATTTATATATTTATAAAATTAATTAATTGTTTAATTTAGAAATTTTAAGTCATTCTTTGTTGAAATACATCAAATTATTTATTTTGAATTTCAGCCGTCATAGAAATAATGGAAGGAAAACTTCAAGCAACTCTCGCAGCTCAACAGATGGCAGCTCCAAAGTCTTGAAAACTTCATTTTTTCAAATTGTTGATTGTTCATTTTTTTTTGTTTGTTTTCATTTCAAAACAAATTTATTTTTATGCAATAGACATTAACTTTGAATTTTTCTAAAACATGCCATCTTGTTCAAAATATATAAATAAAATATTTCAAAAGAAATAATAAATGCTTATTATAAAAAACAGAAATATATTTAAGTTTGATCTGGTACATAACAAATTTTCATAACAGCAAAATATGTTATAAATGAAATGAGAAATCTTGTTTGTGATAACAGAATCAATGTATAGTTCTTTGTGTGAATTTTTGATAAATTTGTACAGTTTAACACTAGAGATAAATTCTATTAGTTTTTAAGAATTAATTAAACTTGCATGTATGTTAGAAATGCTTTGTCTGCTTTATAGGAAAATCTGTGAATGGAAATGTCTAAAATTATAATTTATTGTGGAAAAAATTTTTGACAAAAAAAAAATCATCGTTTTCTACATATCTATTATAAATTCTCTCTTGCTTTACATAAACTTTTTTTATATTTATAACTTTTTAGTAGTTAATATAATAATAATAATCTCTATACATTGTTACATGTGTCCTGACATTATTTATAATTGAAATATTTTATTTTTTACTTGTGTTCATAATTAACAAAAAACAGGTTTTTTTGGTAACATAATTAATGTTTCTTGCTTGTTATTGATATTTACATTCTTGAGTAATTATTAAATACAATGCTAAGTTTACAGAATATGTTTTTATATGTTACATTTGGCAAATGGCTAAAAAGTATACTTATTACCTGAAAAAAGTGAATAAAAGACTGATAAATTTATGCCTAATATTAGTGGATCTGAATTTTTAATTCATTAAGATTTACTATCTGATCACTTACCTATGGTTTCTTTCTCCCTAAGAAAGATTAATAATCATTCTATTTATCTTCTATATAAAGCATTATATTCCTGTTTCTTGTGGTGTTACTTTTATACTTTTAATATTTCAATTCATCAACTGACTAATTTTTTTTTCAAGAAATAATGGAAGATATTTATTTACAAATATTAATAAGTTTTGAAAACAAAAAGAATCAATCACATACTTAGTCAAAAAACCTCTCTCAAAAATACTAGATGAAAATACTTTACAATTAATAAAGGAGAAGACGACTATTGAGTAAGTTTAAACAGATTTAGTCATTGATGCAACAATGTGAAATAATACAGGAGAAAATAAGAGCTCTTACTAAACAGATTAGAAGTTATAATATTCCCTTTCTTTAATTGTAATATGATTAACTTTCTGATAAAAATTCATCTTAGTTTTATAAAGGTATTAAAAACTACCCATAGACATCGTAAAAAGAAAAACCGATGGAACAACAAAACAATTAAGAAATAATGGAGAAACTTATAATGACGAAGATGTCATCAGCAATATCTGCAAATCATTACCATAAAATAGATGGTTTTACAACACCAACAAATTTGATACATCTTCAAATAGAAGTTCTGGTTCTTTTGTTCTTGTTGAATGTACTCCACAAGAAATATGATACAATTATAAATTTATAAATCTAAAGAGAGGTATGCCAGATATTGATCGATCCCTTGTATTTGGTCATAAGAGCAAGACCAGCCTCCTACAAGAGTTGCTCCCGTTGGTTTTTTTGTTTCTACTGTCCCCTTTTTTGTCCATAGTACTATAGCAGTCATCTGTATGGAATCACATATGATTAATAATAAACAAGTAACAGGTTGTTATTTAGATAAAGATTAGAAATAAACCGGTTGAAGTAGTTGGAGCTGCTTCCCCCGGTTCCATACAGGAATCTACGACTTGTAGATTTGCGCTTTTTAGTAGGTGGTGAGCCCGTCTACTTGCCTGATTTAATTAATTTATCCCTTACTTAAAAATATTATTTAGGATTACGCTTATACACTAAGAAATTTTATGAATTGTAATTAGTTAAAAATATAAAAATGAGTAGAAATCGATACTAACTGATGAAGGAGGTGAATACCGCCCTCAATATCGATATCTATATCCAATGAGAATATAGAGTAAGCAGGATATATGCACACGGCAGGCATCTATATACGCCGCGCGAAATGCTCAGTTAGCTCATTAAACAATCATGTGATGATTATTGTATTATTGTGACATATATGTTTATTAGATATATTAATATTGAATAAACCACAATACATTTCAATATTAATATGAAATATTAAAACAGATAACATGGATTTTTCCAGATGAATTAAATCAATCAATCTTGTCTTACCAATTTACAAGGAAAAAAAAGGAACCACATCTTATAATAATTGGTCTATAATTTTCAATAAATCCAGCCACAGCAAAGATTATTGAAAACATTTTTATACGAGATCCAGCAATTATAGTAAAAATAAAGTAATTCATAATAATACAGTAATGAAAAGAATCTCTCTACTACTGATAGCAACTAGTTACTATGGAACTTGACAAATCCCACTTAGTCGTATCAGTATTTGTTGATTTTTCTGAAGCATTTGATGGTGTTGATATAGTGGTTCTTGAAAGCAAATTGAAAAATATAGGATTGAAAGGTATACCATTGTGCTGGCTATTATATTTGTCAAATCGTAAATATGTGAAAGTAAACAACTCTATTTCAATAAATCTGAACAGCTATATGCAAATTTGCTGTAAATTTTGACTTATCACACCTGTTTTCAATAGGAAAGCTCATTGAGATTTTATTAAATTAATATGGAAAGTCCTTAAAAGTTATCAACTTAAGTCCTGTTCAGAAGATTTATTAAAATACTGGACAAATAGCAAATAATTACTGTATAAATGAATTTGAAGTAGCGTTATATCTAACAAAGTGAGAGATTGCCGAACCGCGTGTGACGTCAGAATGTCCGAGTCACTCAGAAGCGTGAGTGGGAGCATTTTGCACAGAGAAATTCCACAGTTACACGATTTATTGTAACAAAAAAATTTCTTACAACAGTAATACACACTTAACGGGCGGCGGAGGCCAAATCTTCTGGGTCCTTTTTTCCGGATGAAGGTCCAAAAAGGAAAGTTCTCAGATGTTTTCGCAGGAGCTGATGGCTCCGGGGCGTTTGGAGAGAGTCCGTTCGAAGTCGAGGTACAGAGGCGATTTCTTTTCGGGTTATCGTGCCACACACACAGAAGACGGGGAGAAGCTCTCCGTGTCCTTGAAAATGCCCGTTTTTCGGGTCCCAGACCAAACATTCCGATAGGCCGATGCCGACTCGCCCCAGTTCTATAATTGGTCCCCTATCGTTACGAAATGTAACGAGATCGGATCCCAGGTTGCGGGAAGAGTCAATGCCGACTGTCAACTGGATTCCTATCGAAGATGTTCGATCTTAGGACTTGCATTCATCTACTGTTTTAACCTGAGACTTTTCTAACAATTCCATCAAGCATGTCCTTATTTGGGCATGAAGTTTAAGTTCATACCCTTTCGTTAAATGGCTTAAAAAAAGATTATAATTTTTAGTGTGATTCCAGCCCACTTCTGGTTTCCCACAAAAGGTTCCTTATTGACCTTAATGTTTAATAATTGTTAATGATCTTTTTGAATTTCTACCAGAAACCAACCGTATAATGTATGCAGATGATATTTTAATATCGGCTACTCAATCTCGAATACAAGGGTTATTCAAGATACTTTAAACCAGGGGTTCCCAACGGGGTCGATGAAATAAGATATAAGTTACCGTATTTACTCCCATATAAGACGACCTCGAATATAGGACGTGGTATGACTTAATAAATTAATTTTATTTTGAATATAACTTTAAATACAATTCTAATTTTATTTCGTTTAATCACGAGTAAAATATCAAATGCACGTAAATGCACACATTGTCTCGCAAAAATGCCAGTAATTTATTAGTCGATTACACCTATGAGTTTCTTCGAATTCTGATTACGAATCTGTTTTCACGTGGGAATGAATTAAAACTTATATCGGGCTTCCGTGTAATTTTGGAATTCAATTCAATTTCATCTTTACTCCTGACAATACACAAGAACGATTCAAACGGCCCAGATAAAAATACTTTTGTTTTTAAAAATTGGCAAAAAAAAACAAGAAAGGTTCCCGATTATATCCCATTTACGTGCATTTGATATTTTATTTGTGATTAAACGAAATAAAATTACAGTTGTATTAATAAATCTAATTTTATTTTAATCGTCACACCTCGTCCTATATGCAATTAGGGTATTTGGTTTTCTACACCTAACATCTCTGATATTGTCATATCTGAATAGTATTTTCTTAATTCTGATAATGTTCCAGGATATATTATTGTGGTAATTAAGTGAATACAATATTTGTTTTTTTTTAATTACAGTACATTCTTTTTTGCATTAATTTCTTTTTTAATTTTTTTACCAGATGGCACTACAGGTACTATCAGAAAGTCATGGTTAGTGATGTGCCGGATATCCGTATCCGCGGATATCCGAGGGAAAAAAAAGATCCATATCCGTATACGTTACTTTTTAGCGGATCTTTAACGGATCTTTTATCTTAATGAATTTCATTACTTATATGAAATTTTAAAGATAGGTAGCAATAGCACATTCGTCATTTACTATCGTAAAATATTTCCATATTACACTACTAAATTTTTTTGTCGGCATTGTTTTTATTTTAATTTAACTCAACACTCTCCAAAAACACAAACGTAATCTACGCTATCCCGTGTCACACTAGCCACAAACCAGTGTTTCCCAACGTGGGGCCCACGCCCCACAGGGGGCAATTGGATTGCTAAGGAGGGCAATTCGAAAATGGACTTGTCCAGAGTTTAAGTTAACCGTATAGCCGCTGTATATGTTAGGGAGACATAAGAATTTTAGAAAGGCTTAGGTGGGGCATAGCACAAAAAAGGTTGGGAAACACTGCACTAAACTATTGTGGCGGTACGCTATATTTTTGTAAATATTAATTTTAGTTTAGTTTCGTTTCTTCTTTCTACCCTTTGTTCTATTGTTCTATTTTCTTCTAGAACTTTCTTATCTATTCCCTGTCCCTTGGGTGGGATGAGCAGTTCCTAGAAATTTGAGGAGCAAAGGTGTAAACAGGAGCCGGAGAAAAAAGAGAAGTGACGTAGCAGGTCATTCGTAAACCGGACGGCAGAGTGTACGGACGAGGTGAGAATACTGGGAGTCGTATTTTCAATGACCGGATAGTTCAGAAATAAGTTCAGAAAAAAGATCATGTTTTAAGGTCGTATTGACGACTGTGGAAGGAAAAAATCCTAATTATTGTAGAAGAGAAGTGGCCAGTTATAGGAGAAGGACGTGTGTTATCCCACCCAATAGTACGCATAAAGAAACAAGCCGAAAAAAGGGACAAAACCCCAGATATCCCTATTTCTATCTTATCTACCATTTTTTCTGTCTTCTTAATTCTATCCCTTTTTCTGTTATTAGTGTTAAGTTAGTGTTTAAGGTTAGTTTTAAGGTTCCGGGTTATATTGTCGCGATCGGGATCTGTATTGTACACGTGCTTTGGATACAGCGAACTATTATTATCGCTGTAATTTCGCATGCTACTGTTTGCACCGTGAAGTTGGAATCCCCCGAAATAGAATCTGTATAAAGACGCGAAATACCTTAATTGGAAAATTATATCAACTTTTGTTACTTTATCCTGTCTGCCTTTGTGGTGAATTCTAATTTAGCACACTTTCACACTATAAACAAAAACACGCGCAGTGCAAGTCAAAACACGTCGCGTTATTAACGCAAAGTGTCAACTATCGGTCCAAGGTCACACGGACCGGCGCCGACTAAGTACTAAAGTAGAGATCCGTATCCGTGGATCTAGACACTAATGATCCGTATCCGTATCTGCGGATATACATTTTTAACGATCCGGTACATCACTAGTCATGGTTATCAGATAAACTGGGGTGCTGCTATTGTGCTCACCCTTTGTTCTAGGGACAGCTGATCCCGATAGACGGCTGTCCGATCGTCCGGTATTAGAGTTACTCATTTCTCTGTCTTTTGCTTGTCCCGGGATTCCAGGATAAAAGTGAACTGTTTCCCGGAATAAAATTAATTATTTTTAAAGATATACAAAATATCTTGAAATCAAACGATAAATTACTTTAAAAAACGAAAAATAATTATACGTTCTGCAACCTCTAAAATCATATTAATAATGCTGTGTAAGGAAAGTTTGACGGATGAAGTTTGTGAGTCAGACACTCTTAGGAGCGAAGTGCAAATGTAAAAAGGAGCGTCATATTCGACCGTATTCCGAAATTCTTAATGAAAGAAATCAAAAATGTAAACAATTAAAGATGGATACTTTTTTCCGAAAAATGTAAAAAATTCGAAACTAAAATTTTTAAATAAAAACATTTAACTTTATTTATGATATAAATTTTTAATTTTTAAAATGTATTTTTATGTATTTTGTATTATATTGTATTAATAAACAAAATTATTAGCTTATTTTTCACTTATGTAGAACCTAACCCTATACCTCACTGTAAATACGGGTTCGTTTTACGCCAGCTTTTGTAGGAACGGAACTGCGGCGTAAACCGAGGGCTACCTGTATAAGATATTAAAAATTACCTTTGAATTACGTATAAATTTTCACAAATAGAAAAAATTATTAAAGTTTGCTGGAAACTGCTTACAACAACAACAACACTTTGAAATGAGTTGAAAATTTAAAGAAAAAAAATGAACTTAGATCAAACTTCTAAGTTAGAAGGTAATTTTCGTCTTTTTAAATAAAAACAATACAAAATATTATTGTAAATTTTTATAAGATTTTAAAAATGAAAGATGGTCAATACTCCGATCACTCAATTTGATTCTTATTTTAGTAATGAAAAGTCCGGCTACCGAGAATGCCCTTTCCGATACAATTGATATGAGTGGAATTCTGTTTTCTCTTAAATGCATTAATTAATTAAACACGTGTTGTGTTTTTTTTTTAATTTAATAAATTTAAGCGACCCCGCAATTAACCTTTCAATATTAGCTACTCAAGTCCGAATAGCTCGATGAAAAATTCTGACGTCTAAAAAAAAAAGTCAACAACCCACTGCGTGTTTAGAATTAACCCTACATTACAAATCTCTTAAGTACAGCGTAGAATGTTGATAAAGCATGATAATGTGAAAAATGTATCTATAACATCTATGTACAATGAGATCGCGCACAACCTCAAAATCTTCCTAGGGCAGCCTCTGGTTCGGCCCGTGAAAATTCTTTCCAATTCGGCCCGGGGGCAACAACTGTTGGTCATCCCTGCTCTATCCGGTAGGCTAAATTGTCGAGAGTTGCATCAACTCGTGTGTATTTTTAATGGGGTTTTTTAGCATTTTTAGTTATTTTAGTTTTATGTTTTTAGTAACACACGATTGTTGATTCGTCTGTTTTTAGAGAGACGAGGCTGAAATCGTCAGCTTTTACGAAGAGGCACGTGAATTTAGAATTGGATTTCTAGCAAGTGTTATAACAGCAAATGTACATTTTTACATCATTTGCAGATTGCACTTTTTTGCAAGAAGGAGAAACAAGATATATATCGGCAAGAAAGTTGTTCAGCTTACATTAAATTCGTAACCGTAATAAAATTTTGGATAATTTTATAAAAATATTACTAATAAACTGGATATTGAAGTATATATTTATTTTTCATCTTTTAAAACTTTCAGTGTTAGAACAATCATTTTTAACTCTTGATTTCCTATTTATTTCTAACTTGCCAGTTAAAGATATTTCTCTCTCTAAAGATTTTATCCCTTTTGATTTCTGCGCCTTCAATACAAATTCCACAGTGGAAACGATGTTAGAGTAAAAATGAGTCATAATCAAACCAACTTTGTTTTAATTAATTATTTATAATTAATGATATTTGAGGTTGAAAGAAATCAACAGCCTTCTTGGCAGTGTGTGAGATGATGAATGCAAAATTTGATCTCTAATTTTCAGTGACTCCAGGTTTCTAAGACGACAAACTGTAGTGTACTAATTAGACGTTACTGTCTTCTGTTATCAAGCTTAATTGGTTTGCCAGACCAGTGCTACGAAAAAACAGCAAACATCACTTTTGTAGTCTCTCTTGTATCATTTCATAGGTATATCTATGGTCTTCTACAATCGTACGTTGGGCATCAGTTATATTTTTAGGAGTCACTGCCGTTCGTGGTCGCCCTTCACGTGGTTCATTATGGAAGGAAGACACCTCTGAAACTTTACCACCTGAACATAATAGTAAAGAATGGAGCATCATCTCCAAAAGCCGATTTCCATCATTTATAAGTAAGTCTATCATTCAGTCTATCACAAAAATAATAATAAATCACTACACAAAGTGCTTCTCTAGAAAGTTCCATTGTTACTATTAGAAAGAGGGTTGTCTCATTTAGATTAAGAGAGATTATGCTAAACAAATTTCAATGTGTCATGTGAAGTTTATTACAAAAATTATTTATTAAAAAGCTTATTAAAAAATAATAATGAACAGTACTCACTCACGGATAGTTTTCTTGTATTGCAAAAACTTTCAGAGTAACCTTCGTATAATATACGCGAGGCTCGCTGCTCCTAAACTAATATTTTGAGGCACTATAGACTATAGCTTAGTGTCGATTCTAGAGTCTAAGTAATACTCATACAAACTTTATTCTTAAAATCCGGTCTGAACCAAAGATTTATATAAAGCGCAAACCAACAAGAATTTTTTATATTTATAGATTAACATTTTGTTATAATAAATGCTAAACAAAGTAAGGTGCAAGATGTGTTCGAAAAAATTTGTATTGAGAGTTGTTAAAAACCACATCGAAAAACTATAGCTTCTATTTAAAAAAATTGTATGTATAGGCTAATTTGTGCTTTTCTAGCTTGGCCCTTTTGCAATGCTATGTTTATTCTTCAGTAGAAAACGAATTACAATATACAGTAGGTCATTTAGAACTTCGAATTTTTGATAATTTTTCGAATCCCGAAATAATACTAGAAAATAGACTTAATACTAAGATTTGATACTTTGAAAATCAGTTTTTGCAATATAAAAACAAACTGAAATATACGCAATTCAGATTTTTCTTTTAAAATCAAACCAATCTCAACTAAATTAATGCAAATTTTTAAAATCACGGATTAGAAACACCACCAGTTATTTTCAAAACTTACGAAATTATTAAAATATTAAACAGTAAAGAAAAACAATAACATTTATTAGTTTTTACTGACATGTAATATTTAGATAAATTATATTAGAATGATATAGTTTAAAAAAAGAAAAAAATAATACAATTTATATGTTTGTCTCGATGACACTGGATTCACTTCTATTCGATTGGTATTCAACGAGTGTCATTTGTCCTCTGCAATTCGGGCAGAAGTTATCCCAATCCATCAAATAAATCATCCTCGGATGAATTTCGCACGACGTTCTAATCCTTCCTTTATCAAACATTCCGCACGATGTGCAAAAGATAACTCCCTTAGGTCTTTCACAAATGCATTGCTACAATACACAAAAAACATTTAAATATCAATTCATTACGAGCAATGAAATTAAATTTTTTTAAAATTTAAGTTACCGGTACTGTAAATGCATAAACCTTTACTTACAAATCGGCGCCATGTTTAATTTATCAATCGAACACGGCGCCAATTTTGAAGCCGAATTTGAAAATTATCGCCAACTCTTACATATTTTAATACAATTACATATTAAAATATATTCAGTTAAGACTATTTTTTATTGTTAATAAAGTTAAATTACTTTTATAACGTTGCCGTAGCGTCCAGAAGTCGCCATTTTCGTCTCCTTTCCAAAATACAGACGACAATAGTTGAAATGACGTCTTTAAATAATAGTCTCGCGTCAAATTTATTGTCTATTATTATTGGTTCGTGAAATATATTTTAAATATTGATAATTATATATTATCAATAAAATACATTTAATATTGATATTATCTTTTTTTAAAATCACTTTTATACTTTTAAATTTGTTAATTTTATTAAATTTTCGACCGTTTGTACGAACGGTACATATATTTAAATTAGGCGTCTCTTTCAATTCATTTCTTTATTCGTACATAATTTAATAAATTAATTTTTAATTTTCGTTTACATTATAAAATTCGTTTAATTATAAATAATATTTAATGGATGTTTGCTATAAAGCGTGTATTAATTAATTATAATTTTAAACGACTTATCGAATATTCCTATAATTACGCGATTAAATTTTATAGACATTTGATAGCTTTTCAATGTCTCTTATTTCATATATTATTATTTTTTTAATGCCGAATGTGTAATTTTTCGTGCTATTCTTAGACGAAAATAAGTACAGTAACAAATCTTATATCTGTACAATTATTTATTAATTTCAATCACCGTTCGATCTTAATGGTTAGACATTTGCAGTGTGCACTGTGCGCCTGCATGTGATATAATTTAATACAGGACAAGTGCGTTGTAGTTGTGGATTATAGTTCAAATAAAGTGATCAGATATTGTAATTAGGCGGGACAGTCCCGCTTTTTGATATGCTGTTCGAATTTTTAAACTGTTTGAAAAATGTCAAATTGCATAAATTGTAATTCAAAGATGAATAGTATTGTATACGAGTTATAACGTAAAGGTTTTAATATTCAATTTATAAAAATTGTATCCCAACTGGAGTTTTATTGTCCAGTCTGTCACTGTTGTCTGTCGGACGACTGTGAACTGTCGAGTATATTTGTGCTGAAGTAGCGCTGTTTCGGAACATGTTTGGTGTTTTGACGTCATATTTAATAGAGTATTTCATTTACGCTACCTATCGCTTGCTTAAACTGACCAATGATGGCTGTTTCCTGTTCCAACGCATACGTCCCTCATCATTCAGCAATGTAACAGCTCCAGATTGAAACACCTTTTCTCAGTTACTGCTGTTGACTGCCGAACGCAGACAATGTGTATCGTGTGTGTATCGTGTCATGTGAATGATGATTTTTACTAATTATCTGAATTAAAAAAATATCTTAATTATTTGAATTTTAATAAGAATAGCGAAATTTTGGCAATCGCTTAATTGTGGGTAAATAAGTCAGAAATAGTACACCGGAATCGATCACGTGACTCTTGACGTAACATCGAAGCACCTGGGCTAACGTTCCCTTCTTACGTTTCGTGATATTTAAATGATAATGTTGATGTTGTGGATACATAAAAATATATTCGATTGTACGTATTTGAAACAAATGGTAAATCCTACCAACATTCCGTCCAAAGCTCTTTTTCGTGGACAGAATAAAATATACAGTAAAACCTGTATAAACCGGAATCGCACGGTACCGAATATTTTTTCCTGGTTTGGCAGGTTTCCGTTTCGAACAGATTCTTTAACATAGAAAAATCACTTCGTTCTAAAGAATTTTCTCCGTTTAGGCTAGTTTCCTTTTTATTCGAGTTACGTTTTGTACAGGTTTTACCGCATACTGTGTAATTTATATAAATATTTTAACTTCAACATAACCAGAAAAAAGAAATGAGAGACTTATAAAATCGAAAATAAGACAATTAATTACTACACAAATATGAGACTATCACTACACAATTTAAAATTCACATTACACATTTTGTGTTCAGTTGTACTGTACGTTAGGATATGCATTTCTATAAATATTACTAAAATTATTATATATTTTTAAAAAGTTTGCTTAAAATCTTTTCAAGTTAAATATATCAAAATATATGCATATTACAACAAACTTTTAAAATATTTTCTTGCCTTTTTCATTAAACAGAGTTTAATTTTGAGTAAAATCTTAATAAAGATGTATCATTATCAAATTTAAATACAAGTCCATAATTATATATTATACTTTTTCTACTGAGGGTTCTTAACCTAGACCTAAATGCTTTATATTGATGAACTGATGGTATAAATGAATGAATTATATTTCTTAATTGTTTAAGCTGTAACTAAAATTAGGCTGAAATACATGTGAGAAACAGATCTTAACTTCGGATTCTGACACTCACAAAGTCAGAACATTGACCTCAAAAGTAAATTGATTCGATTTGGAAGTGACATTTTAATTATTGTCGTGAAAAACTGACCTAGTTTTGCTGTTTGGAGACTCTACTTCAGCGTCAGTCTGCTGTATTTGCCCCTTTTAAGCTGTTAGACAAAAGCTAGCAGAATGAATTGGAACCAAATTGAAAATTAAGTGCTATTTAAATGCTCCATTAAAAAATTGAGTGTTTGATTATTTTTTTATTGGTTCCATCAGTTTTTATGCAATTATATATAGGCATTCTGTAGCATTTTGGAAGAACCGAATAATTTCAATCTTCTGTAATATTGCTAGAGATTAAACTATCACGTTACTCTATCTTCCTTTTCAATTTGATGTATTAAATTTAAATACATTACATAGTCATAAAAACTATTACATAAAAAAGTAAACTAAAAATTACAATACTAACTTATTATAAATATAATATTATAAAATATTATAATTTATAACAAAAATTATTAAAATATTTATTTATTTTCTGGTGATATTATGTTTTGTGAAATATTAGATCCATACAGACAATATGTTCCTAAAATATCAGGTTTATTGACTAAAGAGTTGTTTTTGCCTTTATCAACAGGACTTGTTTGCTATCGGCGTATTCAAACTCTCAGCGTGCTGCCGGAAGTGACGNCTGCTGGCGTTTGCGAGAGAACACTATTTACCAGCAGCGTTGCCACTCGCGATATATGAAAAAACTTGGATCTGGATGGGAAAAAATCCAGATTATTTACCCAGAAAAATTCATGATTAAAATGTAATTATAAATACTTTATCATAGTACTGTACATTCATGCTGTTATAATTACAGACACTATAACAGTGGCGTACCGTGGGTGTCAGCCGCCCGGGGCGGAGGAAAATTTCGGCCCCCTTATTTAGGTATTTCAATTTAAAAGACCAAAATTCAGTCACAGAACAAGCAATGAAAAATTCGGTGATAGTGTAGCGACCTGTTTAAAATAGTTCTAATGGATATTAGTGGTGTATATGAACACGAATGAATCGTACAAGCAAAAAAAGAAAAAAAAAAGGTCAAAAGGTTTCGTAGGAATTCCTGGGACGAAAAAGTTACTAGTTCACCCGGCGAGCCGACTCTCGGACTGTCCGGACGATAGCACTATCGTAGGCACGATGCAAGTATAGATTCATAGATGTTTCAAATTTTTACAAGATATTATTATTATTATTTATTGTGAAATTTTGCCGCCCCCTAAAAGGTAATTTTGCCGCCCCCTAAAATATGCCGCCCGGGGCGGGCCGCTCCTGCCGCCCCCACAACGGTACGCCACTGCACTATAATACAAATTTAAAAAGCCATTTATTACCTAATTTACACAATAGTTAATGTTATTTCACAGCTACTCTGTTCTTTTTCCATTAATAGTACTGCACAATCTTTATGTTCTTCTTGTCGCTTCTTATACCTTTGGTACCTTCTTATACTCCTTGTACTACATCTCTAATTAGTTCAGGTTCGGATTCATACAGTGAACAGCTAAGATTTTTCCTACTGATCTCTTGTTTACCAAGCAACCTGTTTTTTGATGATTCAATAGTTAAATAGCTGAAGTTAAGATCTTGCTGTTTGTGTTGCGATAGCAAATCATTGCGGTGTATGATTTCATAGCTTGAGCAGGTGCTTAAGTGTATCTGAGTGTTTTTAACTACACATGATTCAGGATTCAACGAATAAAGTACCGTGCTTTTCGTTTTTGTTTCTAAAATCTATTTTTTTTATTATTTAAGTTATTTTGTGTTTATACAATAAATATAAAATGACTTATATCATTATCCTGTTGCTTATGAGAATTTATCTTCAGAACTTTGGAGAAAAATGACAATTTCTTCCTGACAGTGACTACGAATCAGACCATCAGATGAGAATGCAATCAGTCGATGATAGTGAAGCAGATGCCAAAGAGTTACCGGAAAACACAGAATCATCTGTCATCAGATTCTGTGTAATTTATTATATGTAAAAATGGAACAACCAAATGGTATAAAGAACCAATGTTCATACTACAAATGAGTGTATAACATTACCGTGTATTGATTTTTTTCTATTGATTTTCTATTGATATTGATTTTTTTCTATTGATTTGTTGTAAAATATAATGTTTAGGAGCTTAATTTTTAAAAGTATAACGTAGTTTGATGTTAATAAACCTTTTCTTAATTCTTCCCTATTATCTGACATTTTTGCTTATCCGACGTTTTACCCTCCCGTTATGTCGGGTAATCGAGACTCTACTGTATATGTAAAGTCATATTTAAAAAAAAAAAAAACATATTTTACGAAAATTAGAAAAAAACAACCTAGAAACCAAGAGAAGGTCGAAAAACCCAGATCTGGGTTTTAAAACCAAGGAGTGGTAACCCTGCTGACCAGTAACATGATGCATCTTTACCCCTTGCAATGGTCAATAAACTAGTCCATCGCCTAAGGGGAGTGCCTTCCTGGGTTGGTCAGACTGTAAATAGGAGCAATTTAACAAGTAAGAAGTAATAAACAAGGATGCACATGATCTAACTCAGTGTTTCTCAACGGGGGCGATATCGCCCCCATGTGGGCGTTTTTCCATGTTGAGGGGGCGATTAGTAACAATTTATATTTTGGGAGGCGAAAAATAATTTTCTGGGCGATATAGTAAAACATTATATTAAGAATAATTAGATATTTTATTCGTTATATCGTACAATAATTAAACAAATAACATTATACTAGTCACTAGTCTATTCAATGCAGTACGAATTTGGCGTTAGCCTTTGCCCGCGGCATCGGAATTTTGAAGTGAAGGGGGCGATACTACGTAACGGTTTTATTGAGGGGGCGATACTACGTTGATGGGGGCGACGATTCGTTAGAGATTGAGAAACACTGATCTAACTTATTCTAATTAGACGTGTTTTCTATATACCGTATATATTAACCAAAACATATTTATAAAACTTAATTATAAGTTCTTTTTTACAAATTTTTTAAATTAAAATTTTAAATTAATTTCAAGTTTTAAAAAAATCGATCAGTTCGACTTACAGTACATACCTTATCATTTTGATCGATCATTTGTGAGGGCAAAGCTATTCCGGACATCCGCTACTTATCCAACGTTGTAAACCGTGTTACGAACTATAATAATAAATTTATATAATTTTCACATATAAAATATTGCAAATTAAAGTAAACTGACTTTACTGTTACATAGAATACGTCTACACTTATACTAAAGAAGCAATTTGCCTCCATAGATCAAGTTTCGGTTTCGGTTTCGTTTCGATCGAATTGCTTATTAACAATATTGCATTTATATAATAAACAATTTGACGGAAATATTTTTATTTCAATGAGCATATACTGGTACGTGTTTAATGTATTTATCTACACGCTATTTAGAAATGTTTTCTTTAATATTTTATTACTTATTAATACGCTCTTTATAGACTTTAAATAAATTTATTTGAAAGTATTTTTTTAATTTGTTATCGATCTAATATATGGTAAAAATTAAATTAATATTAAGTTTGATGTTAAAATAGTTATCGAAGTGATTTAATTTATTTATTTTCTTGCAAGGATTATTCATCTGGTATAAAAATCAATATAAAAATTTGAAATTATTATAGGATCTGTATAGAAAATTTTATAAATGTTTAAGTTATATCTACTCTCTAAGTATATATATAAACTACAGTATAGTACGTAGCTTAATTTAAATTATGACGAAGCTTTTATTCGTCACGAAAGAAAGAAAGAAAACATATATAGAAACAGTGGCACAAGGAATCGATGAATGGTCGCGGAATTTATGGAGAAGTGGGCCAAGCGGAGGGACTTCGCTGATTTTCAGCTTTATTAATGTGGGAATTTTACTGTAATTCGGCCGATATACAGTACTTTAACAAGAGGCGAATCATGTGTAAATTAGCCGCCTGCATGTTAGAGATATTTGGCCGCTCCCGCCCCATTATGTGAATCGCGAGTAGATTTATAACTTAATCCAACCGATAGGAGTTTACTATAGTCTATTTNCTGTAATTCGGCCGATATACAGTACTTTAACAAGAGGCGAATCATGTGTAAATTAGCCGCCTGCATGTTAGAGATATTTGGCCGCTCCCGCCCCATTATGTGAATCGCGAGTAGATTTATAACTTAATCCAACCGATAGGAGTTTACTATAGTCTATTTCGTAACTTGGCACCTATTGTAAACAAAGATTTTGTCGTGTTAATCCGCCGGAGATTTTCATTGGTCAAATCACAATCGGAAGTGGCTAGACACGTGTTGACCAATTAAGCCCCTTTCTCTGCACGTGTTAAAGTAGGTTAGAGTGGTTACAATTTAAAAATTACCGAGATAATACTTAGAAAAGTTATTATAGCCTACTTTAACATTTTTACGTAGCCGTTTAAATTATTTCCATCGTTTAAATATAGTTTGTCAAAAATTATTATTAAATATATATTATTAAAGACTTACACAGAATATATTTATAATTGTGTAGTTGAACATACTTCAGAATTTTTATCTATCCAACTATTTTATTAAACAGATATAAAACAAAACAAAAAATTCTCCGGCAATCCTTAAAAATCATACGCAAACCTCTAAAGGAAAACGTTACTATAATGTATAGATTTATCTATGTGATATTTATATAATTAAAAATTTTTAAAAATAATTATAGTGTAAACTTACCTTATCAATCATCTGTATCTAAAGATAGATGCTCAAAGTAATCATTTATATCGCTTTCGTCACTACTTGTGTTCGACTGAATAATCAGTTTTTCTACGAGTTTCCGAAATCTCATCAGGTTTTCACATTCAAAACCAAAATATTATAGTGTGCATGACCGGAAATAGTTTATTTTTAATGATTCAGAAAGTGCAAATATTCATTAAAATAACAATTTAACAAATATGAAAAATTCTGCCACATTTACTTCGGCAGCTAAAACTTCTGCATTCCTAATGTATTTATTAAATGCTTCATCAGATCTGGTTGCACTTAGAAATTTAATAAGCTCACTTAAAATATTAAGAGATTCATTTATGTTGGATTGAGGACACTGGAATATTTTACTTACAATATCAATTTTTGAAAGAACATCGTTCCATATAACGACTGAGCAATTAACTTGAAAGACAACCTGATCTAACAAACATTGGTTGGTTAATGTTTTTTGGTGCAAGAGTCATTCATATTGGCCAGGCTGCGCCATTCTAACTATGTTTTGTTTTCATGTATCGGGAATTATAATCTATTATGTCGTTTAGACTTATTATGATATCATTTAATTAGTCTGAGAGGTCGAATTGCTTTTATTCCGCTCTCTCATCTTGTATTACTTACAGATTTCACTATTAAACTAGTGATATTACGATATAGTATGTCCCATCTATAAGGGGATGCAGAAAAAAATGTGTACAATTCTTGTACAATATTAAAAAAATTAACTGTTTCAAGTGTTGCGTTGCCATAACTTAACAAACATCTGTTTGCGATAAAATGCACCAGACTGACTTTTTGTTCTCCTATCTGACATACCTGAATTTATAATAATTCTTTGCTTACATAAACTATATATTTTTTCTCGAATATGTAAAGGGCTGTCCATAAATTATGTCTGTATTCTTCTTGAAATCTTTACTCTCCCCTCACTGTCCCAGTTTATGAAAGTTTCTCCTCTTCGGACGTCCAACAAAACTCAATCCTTCTCAAAACCTTTATCAATTTATGAATAATAAAATGCATAAACTGTGTAAATTTAATGAAATAAAACGGACATCCATTGAAATTCAATCCCTTGTCCGACATTGCCCTATTTGTCATAAACTCTCCCTCCCTTCCAGTGTGGACGTCATTCATGGATAATACATAAAATTCTTATAACGATCCAAACCTTACTAAAACGTGGGTACCGAGAGTTCATTTACGCTAAATTAAAATAAGTAAGCACAAAATGAAAACAGTACCTGTTGTTTATTCTTTATCAGCAAAAGTTCTAATCCCACACGACTTCTTTGGTTAAAGTTAAGATTTATGTTTCCACTTCTTTCCCGAGACTACAAATATTCGAGTACAAAGTAACCGGTTTCAATGTATTTCTACTTAAGTTGTTAAATAATTAGGCTAAGTGATTGGGGAATTAGGGACATAAATGAAACCATGTAAAAGTCGGAATTTTACTTAAACAAAAACTTAACCGAACCAATCTCTAAAACAGTACAGTGGGGACTGATTTCTTCGTATTATTATATGTAATAAAAACAGAAATTTTTCCAGTTCAATGAGACTGAAAAGGTATAAATTTCGGAAATTCCCGTGGACACCTGGCCCTACAACGTATTAGTTAGAAAACAAATGACAATCTATTAAGTTTTAACATATTTAGATTCTTACAGATATGATGAGAAACGTTTAAAATTTATAACAACCCTGTCGCGTCCTTCGAAATATACTAGTGATAAGACAAAAGAAGCATTTGACACTGACCAGTATCGGCACCGTTGGGATTTGGCCACCTGTGGGCATGCACGCACTGCACATCTATTAGGACCGGCTCTGGTTAAAGCGTCATCTAATTTTAATTAAAGTATTTCGTGTTAGTTTTACCGACGTTTTAAGTGAAGTAGCTCTTGTTAGTAATTTTTGTTGGTGAAGTTGGATAAACTGAGCCAGCAAGGATGTAAACGGGAGACGGACGAAACTTCTACACGTCTTTATTCTACGAAGAGCTACAGACACACTACACGTTAGAAAAATAGCAATAATTTAGAGGGTCACAGGCAACTAGAAAAAATAAACAGTGTCACCGTACATCGCATTATATCTTTCAGGAGACCAGGAGATAAACTTTTTAACACGTGACAGCCACATTCCTAACAACTCTTTGGTACCAGCAAAGAGAACAATTTCGAAAGAATGATTTGGTCAAATAATGAATGAAAGGAGAAATAGAATAAAACCAGAGAAATTACGTACTCTAATTTTTTTTTAAAAATAAAAAGCTGTAATAAAAATTTATAATCATTTTCATATTTACAATCTTCGAAATAATATTTAAAATTACGTTAATATGTTCAGTTTATTATTTTATAATAAAGTTTAAAACAGTATAAGTAACAGTTATATATATATACAGGGTGGGGCATAAGTAACGCCTTTTTGAAATTTTAAAAAATTTTAAATTTTATTGAATAAAAATTACATAAATACAGCAACAAAAATACAATGATTTAATATTAATGGACATGATCAAGATTCAATACAATGCTGAACTCTACTTGCAACACTTCTACAAACTTTTTGACACATTTCCATGATAATTACAGAAAATTTCTCTGCAATTACTTGTTTTAATTCAGGAATTGTTTTTGGTTTGAGGCTGTAAACCCGATCCTTCAATACACCCCCACAAAAAAATTCTGGTGGTGTTAGGTCTGGTGATCGTGATGGCACTCAAAAGGTCCTCGTCATCCTATCCATCTCTCCTCAAAATTTTGATTTAACAATTCCCGAACATTTAAAGAAAAGATACAGTATAAGATATATCTAAAATAATTTCATATAAAATTAAAACATAAATTTTTGCAGTAGAAACTAATAGATATTAAAAAGAGCGTTACTTATGCCCCACCCTGTATATTATATATATATTTTTAAAAAATCAATCTTTAAAAATAATTCTTAAAAGATTAAAAAAAACTTCAAAGGTTGATACAGAAGACAACCGTCGTTTTTTAGCTATAACCGCATTTTATCAGAGACAAAACTATTAAGGATTACAACCGTTAGTTTTTATTACATTACAATGCATTTCGGGTGCAAAAAGTTTATTACACGTGCACCCCTCTTCAGGTAATACATAACTACAATAAGGAAACATATAGTTGTTACGAAATTATTACAAATTATTACAAATTAATGTTATATTTACTCTTACATATTTAAAAAATATGCAAATATTGCACTTGTATTAATGTGATATTTTGAAAGGAGGAAGTTAGTAACAGTTTTAAAATGCTAACTTTAAAATAATTTTCAATAAAATGTTTTCTCTCTATAATAAACTATATATTCAATTATTTAAACGTAAATATATCAAGATTGCATAACTGATAATGTATATTATCATTAAACAATGGCGGTTCGAACGGTGCAGAGTCGTTAAGTAGTCCCAAGAGTTTTTTGTTTATATATTGATACTTTTTATATAGGTTGCCTCCAAAAAGTTG